TTGTCATTTGACAAATTCTGTGTCAACATTTAATTTGTATAAGAATTAATACGAGTGTAGCTATACACAGATGTAGCTGTAAAAACAAAATAGAATACAGAACGTATAATGTACATACAATAGAATTTGAACATCCAAATAACGCGAACATTCCAGTCATTTCTCGAGTTACATTAACACATAGAATTAAGTTAATAGTTGCCTAAAACAATATTGGCGAGTTCCACCTCAGCATGAAGGAAAAAAAGAAAGAACGATATATAAATTGAGAGTAGGGAAATAGATATTTATTTTAGCTCAAATTGAGAGATTTGCTTTCCTTTGAAATATGTTCGTAATGTCTATTCTATTCAGAAAAATTTAGGGCTCGACATCTCAAGTGCCTCAAGCCCCTCGAGAAACATAATGCCACTTCATCATTTGTTGTCCCAGTTAATAGCGTATTTGATTTGACTACTAATGTTCGTCACATAAGCTGTTAACTATAATAAACATTTCACCAATTTATACCTATATATGCAACCTTCTCAAGGCTCGAAGTAGTGAAAGTATTTAAAAATACGGACTTTACGGACCAGAAATTAAAAATTACGGACCATTTGCGGACCAATTGGCAAAAATAGAATCAGGCCGAATCAAATAAGAGAACATTTTACTTAAAACTAGAAATTCAATTTTTCATAATTCTATAAAACATGAAGAAATCGATAACTCCTAGTCTTCGACTCGAAGTCATCGACTTCTTCATGTTTTATAATAATTAATAATAATTATTAATAAAAATTAATAAAAATTAATAAAAATAATTTATAATAATTAAAATCATTGTCAATTCAATTTTTATTTTTAAGAATTTAAAAATAAAATTCTTCGATTATTTTTTTAAATTTTCGAAAAAGTTCTTTGACAATTTTCAAATTCATTTCATTACAATATTCAATTTTACGAAATTTCAATTATTCGTAAAATTCTCTTATTAAATAAATATTTGAAAATAGAAACTAAAAATAATATTAAAAAAACTCAATTAAACTTTTTCAAAAAAATTAATTTCGAAATTCAGTTATTTCTAAAAATTCACGCTCTATTGCTTTTAATATTCTATTATTATCTAAAAGTTGAACTGAAATTCATTTTTATGAAATGAAAATCAATTTCTATTAGAATATTCTACTAGAATTCAATTATTTAAATACAAATTTAAATGTAAAAATGCAAATAAATAATTTATTGAACAATTGAACGTTTCTTAAAATTCAATTCCCATAAAAAATCGTTAGCAACAAAATTTTCAAATAATTGAATTCTATCAACGAATTTTAATAAAATTTTTAAGAATAATTACATTTTTCGTGAAATTTGATTAAAATTGTATTAAAAATAAATAAAATAAATAAAATAATTGAAATTCTGCATTGAATTTTATTATTTATGAAAATAATTGAATTCTTTACGAAGAATATTATTAAAATTTTCAAAAATAATTAAATTCTTGTAATAAAATTAACAGTAATTCAATTATTTTTAAAAATTTTAATAAAATTCTTGGCATAAATTAAAAATAACGAAATTCTTAGCAGATCTTCAATTACTTTCAGAAATATAAATTTTAATAAAATTTTTCGCAAGAATTTAAATATTTTCGTAAAATAATAAAAATCTTTGCAGAGATTCAATTATTTTTCAAAAGTCATAATAAAATTCTTCCCAAGAATTCAATTATTTTCAAAAATATCAGAATTTTAGCAGAAATTCAAACATTTTTAAAAAGTTTTGATAAAACTTCTTTTTGGTAGAAATTCAATTATTTTTAAGACAATTTTAAAAAAAATGTCTCAATAAAATTCAATTATTTTTAAAATTTTAATGAAATTCTTCGAAAGAATTGAATTATGTTGCTAAATAATAAAACTTATTCCTTAAAATTCAATTATTTTGAGGCATTTTAATAAATATCTTTGCAAAATTCAATTATTTTCATAAATAACAATATTTATGACAAGAATTCAATTATTTTTAAAAGTAATAAATTTCTTCTTGGAAATTCAATTATTTTAAAAAGTTCTTATAAAAACGTTCGCAAGAATTCAATTATTTTCATAAATAATAAAATTCATCGCAGGATTTTTGTTATTTTTAATAGAATTTTACATAAGTTGATCGAAAAATGTAATTATTTTTAAAAATTTTATTAAAATTTGTCAAAAGAATTCAATTATTTTAAAATTTGTTCAGGATTCCTACAGAAATCCGAATTTAAAATTCTATAACTTTTCCATGATTTCCAGGTCAAATTTTTACGAAATTCCAGTAGAATTTTAAATCTAATTTCATTATTTTTGTGCTCTTGGAAAATACTTTACTTATATTCAATAGTCTCCACCCTTTGGTAAAAAATCAAAAATTATTAAAAATTATCAAAAATCCGAAAAATCGAATTTCTTAAAATTTAACATTTTTTCTTCTCTTTTATGCCATTTAGCTTTATTATTATTTGAATTTCTATTCAAGAGAAAAAATGGAGAACAGAAAAAATTTAGAAACTTTTAAAAATTCTAGGCCTTTTCCTTGATTTCCCTGATTTTCAGAAGCCTTTTAAAAAATCCATACCATTTCCAGATTCTGTTGGAACCCTGTTGTTGGTAAAATTCTATATGAAAATTCAATTTTAACAAACAATCAATTATTTAATAGATTATTTATTTTTTAATTTGAATAATTGAATTCTTTTAGAATTTTCTAATAATAATTGAATTCTTGTAAAAAAATTAACAGGAATTCAATTATTTTTAAAAATTTTAATAAAATTCTTGGCAAAATTTTTCAAAAGTCTTAATAAAATTCTTTGCAAGAATTCAATTATTTTCAAAAATATCAAAATTTTAGTAGAAATTCAAACATTTTAAAAAAGTTTTGATAAAACTTTTTTCTGGTAGAAATTCAATTATTTTTGAAGACAATTTTAAAAAAATGACTCAATAAAATTCAATTATTTTTAAAATTTTAATGAAATTCTTCGAAAGAATTCAATTATTATAATCTAAGATTTTAACTCAATGTTTATGAGAAAATTCTGCCAGAATTCAATTATTCAAATAAAAATAAAATGCAAATAAATAATTTATTGAATAATTGAATGTTTCTTGGAATTCAATTCCTATTAAAAATTTTATCAACAAATTTTTAAATAATTAAATTATTTGGACGAATTTTAATAAAATTTTTAAGAATTTTTTCGAGGAATTCGATTAAAATTCTATTAAAAATAATTGAATTCCTAAAAAGAATTTTATTATTTACGAAAATAATTGAATCGCAGTAAAAATTGTATTATTTATGAAAATAGTTGAATGATTACGAAGAAATTTATAAAAAAAAATTTTTTTATTAATGAAATTCTTGTGAAATTTTTATTATTTTTTGAAAATAATTAAAAGTTTTTGTAGAATTTTATTAAATTTTTTTTTTTTAAATAATTAAATTCTTTTGGTATGTAAATTTTATGAAAATAGTATATATTGAACAATATTTAATGTTTGCGAAGAATATTATTAATTTTGAAAATAATTCAAATTTTGCAATGAATTTTATTAAAATTTTTGAAAATAATTGAATTTTATTACTTTAGAAAATAATTGAACTCGTGTGATAAATATTGTCAATTATGAAAATAATTGAAATTTTTGTAATGAATTTTAATAAAATTTTTGAAAATAATTTAATTTTGTCGAAGAATTTTGCTATTTATTTATAAAAATAATTGAAATGTTGACAATGTTATTTAAATTTTTTGAAAATAATTGAATTTCGGAGAAGAATTTTGCTATTTATTTATAAAAATAATTGAAATGTTGACAATGTTATTTAAATTTTTTGAAAATAATTGAATTTCGGAGAAGAATTTTAATATTTCTAATAATTGAAATTTTGACGAGAATTTCAAAAAATTTTTGAACATATATGAATTTTTGCGAAGAATTTTATTACTTTTAAAAATAATTGAATTTCTGCAATCATTTGTAATTTCTCAAAAATTCTCCAAATTATATCGTACAATTTACGAACTTTTCATCCTTTTTAAATGAAATTACGGACTTTACGGACCTTTTTTCAAAAAAACGGACTTTTACGGACTTTTTCAGGATTTACGGACCTACTTCGAGCCCTGCCTTCTTTTTTTAAAAAATAAAGTTCTAGCCTCGGTTTTAGTCAAAAAAAAAAAAAAAAAAGTTATAGATGACAACAAACCTTGTGTAACATTAATAATACTTTTATCATACATTTAAGATTATGAATAATATACAGTATTTACAATAGATTTTAAAGCCTTTTGTGCTAAACGGTATTTCTTTAAGCTGGATTGCTTTCCAGATAAATTCAAGTTCTAGAGAACCCTAATAAAAATATTTGCAAAGAAAACAATCGAGTACTCGAAGGGAGAGACGAGTTATTCTTATGTCTGCGTATATAGGTTTTGGCGAAAATCTTTATCGGCTGTAACCGCATTTCCATAAATTCAATGTTTTAAATTTGACGTTCAGGTTTTTTTCTTAAATTCAATGCAAAAATACCAGAATATTATATTTTTAGTCGTATAGCTCAGTGGTTCCTTTGGTAATAATTTATAAAAAACCAAAAATTTTGGTTCCTTTAGCAATAATATATAAAAAAAACCAAAGATTTTGGTTCCTATGTCAATAATTTATAGAAAATCAAAGATTTCAGTTTTGGCAATAATTTATAGAAAAGCAAAGATTTTAGCTCCTTTGGCAATAATTTATAGAAAATCAAAGATTTTAGTTCCTTCGGCAAAAATTTATAGAAAATCAAAGATTGTTCCTCGTTTAAAGAATGGAAGCATTAAAAAAAGTGGACCGAATAAAATTTTATATTATTCGGTCCGCAATTTTTAGCCTAATTTATAATAAGCAAAGAGGGAAACAAAATAATAGACAGTTGGAGCATTTTCATTTTTTCTCCATAGAGTTTATTTCAAAAATAAAATATTTATAATAAATAAATATTATTTTTGTTTTAATTGTTCCTTTCCTTTAATTAAATATTATTTTTACCCATAACCCACAACATACAATTTAAAATTGTATACTTATTGCTATAACTTGCTGTAAATCTTTTGAAGAATACTGTCTACATTGAAAGTTTGATAATGAATTAAGATTCCTTAGCTCCAATAAAAATACAGGTTTCGTCTTTACACTCTAGCAATTTTTTCAATCTTTTTCTGAATTTGTGTCGTTTTCCGCTTTTCATTGTGTAGCCAAGATTAGTTAATTGCTCTGGATCTTGGGTAATATTGTAATATTCAATGTAAGACTGTAAAATATATATTAGAAATGTAACAATATTGTTAATTTAATGATCAGTTCCCTATTAATTGAATGAAGAGAAAAATTTAAAGTTATTACCTGATTATCATTAAAGATGCAAAATACATTATTATATACTTTTGAAATTCTACGAATACAGTTGTAAGTATTGTTTGTACTATCTTGACACTTGCAGGCAAACTCTTCACTGCATTCCTTCGAAAGAAATAATAATTCAGTTTATAATATCAATATTTGCATATTTTTTTTCAACTACTATTAATAACATCGCAGTTTTTCTAAAGATGTCAATAAATTGAGACAAAAATTGTTTTAAAAAAAAAACAAAAACAAAAAACTGATTCGTTTTTTGTCTCAATTTGATATCTGCAGAAAAACTGGAACTATAAATAAAGCTTGCTGTAAACTGATTATTTAACGAATACAAATTATCTGTGTCTCCATTTTCTATTATTTACAATATTATATGCATATTTCAGACTTCGCACTCGATAATTAATTTTTTAAAAATAGCAAAAAGTAGATTTCAAACTAAAAAAAGTAGTAAAAAAAAGTAGCTATCGAAAAATTAAACTTGACGACCAAAAAAACTCATTTTAGAAACTTCACAAAATGACAACACTGACGAAAATTCCATTCTATATTTTATTTTCCTGATTTTTTCCTAATTTTCATCAAAAATTCAACTTCTTTCTTATCCTGCTAATAAATTCAATTCCTGCAACAAATTTTATTATTCATGAAACAATTTAAATATTTATAAAAATAATTTAATTCTTGCAAAGAATTTTATAACAATTTTTAAATAATTCATTTCTTTCGACTAATTTTATGCAAATTCTAATTTAAATAATTCAATTCCTGAGAAATTATTTATTATTCATTAAAAGAATTGAATTCTTACGAAGATTTTTACAAAAAAATATTTAAATAATTGAATTTTGTTTGGAAATTTTATGAAAATAGTAGATATTGAAAATCATTGAATTGCGAAAAGTTTTTAAAAATAATTATATTTTACAAAGAATTCAATCAACATTTTTGACAATAATTGAATGTCTCTGTGGCATTTAGCATTTTATTAAATTTTTTTGAAAATAATTGTATTCCCAAAAAGCATAATTATATTATTTATGAAAATAATTGAATTCTTGTGAACGATTTTATTAGAACTTTTTTAAATAATTGAATTTCCAAGAAGAAATTTATTACTTTTAAAAATAATTGAATTCTTGTGATGAATATTGTTATTTCGGAAAATAATTAAATTTTGCAAAGAATTTTATTAAAATGCCTCAAAATAATTGAATTTTCGGGAATAATTTTGTCATTTATCTTTAATAATTGAATTCTTTCGAAGAATTATTAATATTTATGCAAATAATTGAATTCTAGGGAAAAATTTTATTAAAATCTAAAAAAATAATTGAATTCCTGTAAAAAATTCTAATATTTTTGTAAATAATTCAATTCTTCCAAAGAATTTTAAACAAACGATTTTGTTAAAAAATTGATTTTTTTGGGGAATTGAAATTAAATTTTTTAAGAATAATTACATTTCTCGAGCAATTCCTGTAAAATTGAATTAAAAACAATTGAAATCCAGCCAAGAATTTTATTATTTTTATAAAAAGAATTGAATAGTTGCTAATAATTTTATTAAAATTTTCAAAAATAATTGAATTCCTCATAAGAATTTTATAAACATTGTTTTAAATAATTAATTTTTTCGAAATTTAATAAATATTATGAAAATTTTAATTTAAATAATTGAATTCTTGTGAAAAACTTTATTTTTAAAAATAATTGAATTTCGTTTTGAAATTTTATGAAAATAGAAGATATGGAAAATCATTGAATTGCGAATAGTTTTTAAAAATAATTAAATTTTACAAATCATTGTATTAAAATTTTTGACAATAATTGAATGTCTATGTCGTATTTTGTTAATTTTTTTTTAAATAATTGAATTCCTACAAAGCATTTTATTATTTATGAAAATAATTGAATTTTGTAAAAAAATTTTATTAAAATGTCTCAAAATAGTTGAATTTTCGGGAATAATTTTGTTATTTATCTTTAATAATTGAATTCTTTCAAAGAATTATTTTTGAAAATAATTGAATTTTTCGATTAATTAATTTCGAATACTATTAAAAATAATTGAAATTCTTCGATAAGTTTTATTATTTATGAAAATAATTGAATTCTTGCTTAGAATTTCATCAAAAATTTTATTGAATAAATGAATTTCCACGAAAAATGTTATTATTAGTGAAAGTAATTCAATTATTGAAAAGAATTGTACAAAAATTTTGTTAAATAATTTATTTTTTCGAAATTTTTTTGAAAATGCGATTCAAAATTAATTGAATCACTGTGGAAATTTTATTATTTATGAAAATAATTGAATTTTGAATGAATTTTATCATTTTTTTATGTCATTGAATTTTTTTGCGAAATTTTATGAAAATACTATAGATATTGAAAATAATTGAATTTCGATTATTTTTTTGGAAATAATTGAATCGTTTTAAAGAATTTGATTATAATTTTTAAGAATAGTTTTTTTTATTTCTAGTATTAGCGAATTTAAAGTAAATTCTCATAAAAAAACACAGGAATAGTAGGTTTTAGTGCCTGAAATCTAAAAAAAGTTCCTAAATAGTAGAAAATTGTGGAAACAGTATAGTAAATAGTAGATTTTAGTAGATGAGTGCGAAGCCTAAATTATTTAATAATAAATTCAAATACTAACGGCCAAATGTGGATCATTACTATTTGGACACTTAACATCATGATACCCTCCTGAATTTTCTCCTTTATACTCAATCAATAAAGTCCTGTCAGTAGTTAAATTATTGTTCAACATTGAAATCCCATCTGAAAAATATTTGAGTCCAGCAATATCTAAAATCGTCGAGAAAATATCAACACTGCTAACAGGTGCAACAACAGTTGACAGCTTATCAATTTTTGGTCCTCGAATATACAACGGTATGTGAACATCTGTTTCGTAAGGTTGTCTCTTATCCAATGGCATGGCAAATTGTCCTAAGAAGCACAGTATTTGGTATTTATTATTATGATAACGAATTTTCCCCAAAAATAAAAAAGCGAACCTTTAGTAAACTTTAAAAATTTTAAATATCAGATTTCAAACAGTTCCTAATAAAAATTGATAAAGATCCTAAAAGATCCTAAAATTAAATATTCCCCTATGCTGCGGAATATGAAGATTCTGATTCTTATCGCAGGATTCTATTTAGTTGATAAGAATTTTTATGAATATCATCTAATATTAAAAAAAGATTCTAAGTTATGATTTCGGTATTAAAATAGAACCAAAAATTACGATTTAGTACCAAAATACAGTTATCTTGAAAGTATCAAATTTGATACTAAAGTGGATCAAAATTGATGCCAAAAATTTAGATCGAATTCTAATTTAATCCACATTTTTGGTATAAATTCCTTTTAATTAAAAAAATTTTTTTTTTAATACTTTTAAGTAAACAGTGAGATTTTTTATGAAGAAATTAAAAAAATTATCCCCAATTCTTACCAACGTGATAACCATTATCGGATGTAAAAATAATATAAGTACTGTCGAGTAAATTTTTACTCTGTAGAGCATTGTAAACAGTTGCAATCATTTCATCAACAGCTAAGAGAGTTTCCCAACGTTTCCTATAAACTTTATCTAATTTTGGCAATAAATTTTCGGGCATTGGAATCGGATCCATTTTCACCAGCCAGTGTTTGTCCTAAAATAGCCAACAAACTAATTATATTTGCGGTAGGATTTCAAAATTACAAAAAAAAAAAAAATTAAAATATAAGTAACTATTACTCTATTTTGAAGATTATTAAAACTTGATGTTCGTTTTGCTTGAATATTTTGATATTTGTCATTATGACGAGCTGCGGGAGTAAATGGCGAATGAGCAGCTGGAGGAGCTAAGACCATAAGAAAAGGAGTATTTTTTGATTGAGTATCGATAAAATCAATTGCATATTGCTTCTGCAAAAGGAAAGAAAAACATTGCTTAACTATATGATTAGTGCAATAAAAATGTGACGCGTTTATTATCAAATAAATATTTATTTGAATCAAATAAATATTTATTTGAATCAAATAAATATTTATTTGAATCAAATAATTTTTATTTAAATCAACTAAAAGGTATTTGAACCAATAATTGTCAGTATTTGAAAAGCAAATATGAATTGAACCATTTAATCGACTCAAATAAAAATTATTTGATTCAAGTAAATATTTCAATGATAATAAGTCAAGTAATCGGTTATTTGAATCAAATCAATTTTTTCTTTAGTGTTTTGTACACAGGCTTCGGATAAACTTTCAGGTGCAAAAAAAGTTGCTTTAGACGGTTGAAGATTAAAAAAAAACCGAAAAAGTCGTTTATTTAATTCAGTATTGTCACAAAATTTTCATTTTGCATTTTTATGATTTTTCACTACATTCTAAATTCAATTAGTCAAAAATTAAATAATTTGGTTAAATGCACAAATTTAAATACTCATTTATTTTTCCATGGGAATTTAAATAATTTTAAAAATTTCGACTTCAAACATTTTGAAAGTTATAACTATTTTTAAAAATTAAAACTGCAATACCTACTTTTAAAATTTTGTTATTTATAACAAATTTTAACTAAACTTTTTTTCTTTATCGATAATAATAATAATAATAATAATAATAATAATAATAATTTTAATAATAATTTTTAATAATTTTAATTTTAATTTTAATTTTAATGATTTTTCGAAAATTTTTCGAAAATTCAATTGTTTAAATACAAAAGTAAAATTTTTTTTATAATTGCAACTGCAACGCCTGATGATTTTTCTTTAAAGTTATTAAGATAATTTATTGAAAATCTATAACCGAAACTGTTGAAAAAAATTACAAGAAAAAAATTCTTAAAATTAATTTTTTAACAATATTTTAAAATAATTTTTGAATGTTAATAGATTTTTCAATTACATATAATTGAAAAATTTCTAAATAATTGAAATTTAGACAAATTTCTTGATAAATGGTTGAATTTTTAAAAAAAAATTTTTGAAATATATTAAAAATTAATCAAATTTTATGGAGAATTTTAATTGCAATGATTAAAATACATTATTTTTTCAAAATTTTAATCGGATAAGTTTATAAGAATTTAAAGCATAATTTTAAAATTTTTAATTTACTTTTCTGTAGATAATCATAAATGTAATAAAATATTTTGATAAATAATTGAATGTTTAAAATAGAATTTTTGAAAAATATATTAAAATAATCAAATTTTTTGAAGAATATTAGGTCTATTTAAAAAAACTAATTAGTTTTTCAAAGAATTTTAATTAAAAATTTTGAAAATAATTTTTTTCATCAAAATTTTACTAATAATTCCAAAAAGTTAAATTTAAAAAAAAATTTAATTTAATTTTTTTTGTAGTTGAATTTTTAGAAATATGTAATTGAAAATATTAAAAATAATTGAATTTTCAAAAATTGTAAAAAAAAATTCTTTGAATTAAATTTTTAAAAGTATTTTTTAATAATTTTTAAAAGATTTTACATTTTTTAATGAAATATAATTGAAAAATTTAAAAATATTAGAAATGTAGTAAAATTTTTTGACAATAATTGAATTTTTTTAAAAGAATTTTTGAAAAATTTTAAAAAATAGTCATATTTTTTGAAAAATTTTAAATGTAAATTTAAAAATATATTATCTTTCCAAAATTTTAATCATACAAATTTCTAATAAAGTATATTTTTAAAAATTTTAATTTATATTTCTGTAGATTATTATAAATGTTGTTTTTTTTAAAAATAATTGAATTTACAATTTAAAAAACTGATCAGTTTTATGGAGAATTTTAATTTCAATTTTTTGAAAATAAGTATTTTTTTCAAAATTTTCAATCTAATTCCAAAAAAATTAGATTTTCAACAAAATTTTAATGTAATTATTTTCTTATAGAAATGTTTTGAATTTTCAAAAATGTATAATTGAAACAGAAAATATTGAAAATAATTGAATTTTAAAAAATTAAAATAAAAAAATTTTAAGAATTGCTTTTTTTGAATTAATTTCTTAATATACTTTTATTAAAAACTAATTTTATTTTTAATTTTTTATTATAACTTTTGAAAATTCATTTATTTAAAAATCTGCAATTAAAATTTTTCAAAAATTGATTTTTATAAATTTAAATGAAATACTTTTAAAAAATCAATTATTTTTAATCCAATTTTACAAAATTCCAATTATTTAAACAATTTTCAAATATTTCGAAAATTTAACTATATGATAGATAAATAAGTCAAAAATGAATTTTAAAGTATTAGACTAAATACAGGTATTTTTTAAACCTATAAAAATCGAAGTAATTTGCATTTTATACCAAAAAAGTAGTATTTTCTTGAAATATTTGGAAGAAAAGTCGAAAAAGTAGGAACATTTGAAAATAAGTCAAAAAAAGACTCAATTTTTGGAAAATAGTCGTTGAAAAAGACGAAAAAAGTCGATCTATCCGAGGCCTGATTATACTATCATTTTTACAGATTATCAAGAAAGAATGTAATTTTTTTTTTGATTTTTCAAATAACTTAATATGGGCGCCAAATAATTCACCTTATATTTTTTTTGTAAACTATCATTTCCACTATATAAATGAAACAGAAATGAATTCTAACCAATATATACTCACAATAACGTCTGTAAGATAATCTTCCGGTTCAAAACCATGTTTTACTTTAGTACCATTTACTGATAGAGAATAGTTATAATATTTCGAATTTCCTACAAGAGCGTACCAATGATCCCAACCAGGGGGCTTTTTTAATTCATCAGAAGCATGTAAACCATACTAAAATACAAAAATTGTTACTTTTTTACAAAAAAAAAACTAACTTTTGTAAATCTAATAATGAAAAATTAATTCCTATATTAAATTAATGGTAATTCCTATAAGGAATTAATTATTACTTTACTCTCATGGTAATTATTACTCTCTGGGTAATAATTCTTTCTAAACTTTGAAGCAAAAAAATTTACTTGATTTAAATATTTTCCAGCGTAGAAAGTTCTATATCCTTTTTTATTATTTAAATGAACAGCGAAAGTATATTTTTCAGGACCATTTTGCCATTCTTGACTATAACAACCTCCGCTAATACTATTATTGAAAACTTCATGATTATGTTGATAGCGACCTGTTAAAATTGATGCCCGATTTGGACAGCAAATCGGCACTGCAGCGTACTAAACAAAATTATTAATTTTAGTAATTTTTTACAACACTATTCATGTTATTACATTTTTTTAATTTTTATTTTTATTTCCCTAACGCAAATTACGAAGAATCGGCTCTTTAATATTCACTACTCGAGTAAAATCCTATCATTTCCTTTTAAATTAAATTAAATTTGTTTATTTAAATAAATTTATTATATTATAAATTTATTTATTGTTAAATTAAAATTGATTATTTAAATAAATATTTAAATAAAATTATGACAGTAAATGTAAAAATAGTCGAATAATTATAAATAATAAAATATAATTTCATAAAATTGAAATTATGAAGATTGAAGCAAAAAGTTTGAGGTTATGTTTATACTTTTTTGAGTGAAAAAACAGAAAGTTTATCAATTACAATAACAATATTGAAGTTCAAGTCTGTATTACAGTCGAAATAGTCAATAAAAACTGGTTTTAAATTTAAATAATTAAAAACGAACTTTTAATTAAAATAATTGTAACCCGAACATAACCTATAATTCATTTGACTTTCTTGGAAGCGCGTCACGTTTTCTTATATTCAACTTAAAACAAATAATTTATTTTCGAATCTAATGATCTAATTTTAACTTCTAGGGGCAAATTTTTCAATTTCTATAGAGAAAATTAAATAAAGTAGAAAATATGTACTCACATTGTTAATATAAGCAGTTCCCTCATCGATAATTAATTGTTTAGTTTGTGTCAATGGTACCTGAAATTTATCACATTATAATTTAGAAAACTTAGAAGAAAAAGCTCTCCTTTATTAGAATTTAAAAAACTTTTTATATCATGCAAGTTTCTACCGGTGCTACCGGTCGTTTTGTATACATATATAACTTTCAAATACCGAGAAAATGTAAGAAAAATTTGGTTACTTACCATTCCATCTAATTCTATATCCAAATCGTCAACTACTATTAAAACAACATTGTTTCCTGACACTAAATTTGTGTAACATAATATTAATAATAGAAAACATATTTTAATCCCCATTATATACTTTTAAAATACATTTAGGTAATAAACAGAGATATCGCCGATATCGCAGCAGCGGCAGCACTGTGTAACACTAAAGCTAGATTCACAATAGTCAAATGGTTCTTAAGCTGCGTTTACATGCTTGCGTTAGTGCATCGTAAAGGTGCATGCACCTCCGGTATTTCGTCAAGCGAATGCACCTGAATAATTTTTCTTTCACGATCGAATCGATAATTTGATTGATTTTGGAGGCTAATTTTTCATTTTCACTGAAATGTAAAGTGAGAATGAAATGTTTGTCACAAAGCCAATCAAAATATGCCACACGAAGAAAATACCGGAGGTAAAACACCTTTACTTTTAGGGTGCATTTACACCTGTCGGTAGAAAAAAGAATGTTGCAATGGGTGTGAACGATATTTCGAAAGGTGTAAACGCTGTAAATGCACCTTTATATTGCCATGTAGCAGATCATAGCAGATGTTCTAATGATTTCTTGTTCACGTGTTTATTTTTTGTATATGATCGAATTAATATTTTAATTGTTATTTATATTTACTGATTTATTTAGAAAAATGATTGTGTCAACGAATAAAGGAAATCCTAATACTTTAAAATTTATCATTGCCGCTAATATAGCAGGAAAAGAAATTACTGTAAAAGAAGTTGCATTAACCCGTAAGTACATAACCTATAAACACACTAAGAATAATTTTCTAAATTTTACTTTTTTACTTTATAATTTTATGTGAATCTCCAGTGAAAACTTAGGAAAATTTAAGCCTTGAAAATTGGTTTTTTTAAATATCCTACTCTTATTGTACTTTTGACAAGTGTATGTACACAAATACCTAATTTGTTTGAAAATTATTTTTTAGACAACAATCTGGGAAGATTACCTGTTTTAGAGGTAACATCAGGACTTGAACTTTTTAGTACTTTTGCCGCTGTTGAGTTTTTATCTCAAACTGAAGAAGAATTCCGCATTGTTACTAACAGGTGGTTAGAATGGGACATAACTCAATTGCAGGTAATAGAAAATGTTCTCTTTTTCTTTTTTTTTCGTTATGATAAAATTCTTCTTCTTGAAGTTTATTTACAATATTTTGATAAATAACACTTTTAATAATCGAAGTAAAATAATTTATTATAAAATTTAAATAATTAATGTTGAGGGTTTTAAGAAAATAATCTAAGCTTCTTACAATCTTTTTAGCCAGCACTAGTGTCTTATTGTGGTTCAGGAACATTGGACACGTCTCATAAACCTCGGATATGGTCTCTGTTTAAAGAATTGAATGAAGCTTTAAAAGACAAAAAGTACTTAATTCATGTAAGTTGGATAAAAAAGAAAAGATATCATAAAGTACCTTTATTGTGTTTAGTAATGAGTAGATATAATTTTAATGAATATATTTTTATTTGTAAATTATTTTCTTTAGGCAAAAAATGATGCTTCAGTTGTGGATTTATTTCTGTGGGTATCTCTTTGGGTTGCTGCAGATATTCCTGAAATTAGTAATTTAATATCCAAAGAGTTTCTTAATATAGAAAATTGGTTAAAAAATATCGAAACGAATCGAATAGTTCAGGTGAGTGTGTAGAATTTTAATTAGGATATCAGATATTTTATTTTTGATAAATTTTTATTTTGATATTTGAAATTTCCATTCAGCAATCGCTAAAACAATTCAATTGTGATAGAGGAATAAAAGGAATATCATGCATTCAAGCAACATCTTGGTTTCCTCTTAATTTTTATACTGGTGGCAAACAATCTAAACCAATCAATGATGTAAGTTATAATAATAAATTGAAACTTTAATTTTTTAATTATTTGACGATTGAGTGATAGTAATAATAATAATAATAATAATAATAATAATAATAATAATAATAATAATAATAATAATAAAAAATAATAATAATTATAGTAATAATAATAAAAACATTTGTTTAAACCAATCTTTAATTTTCAGGCAAATATTAAAACTGAAAGTGAAGTAGCAATAAGCGACGACGAACTTCGTTTAATTCAAGACAGTTGGACAACTTCATCGTACCGTTCAGTCGAACCAACGTATCCTACGTATGTTGGAAAATATAATACAATTTTTTTTGTCTTTTCATTATATTACTATATTTATTTTACATTTATTTACTATTTAACATTTATTTTACAGGCCTGTTCCCGTTGAAAAGAATTTTCTCATCACATCCGCTCTTCCTTACGTGAATAACGTTCCTCATTTAGGAAATATCATTGGTTGTGTTCTTTCAGCTGATATTTTTGCAAGGTTTGAATATTTATTTAAAATTGGGTGAAAATTCAGAGAGAAGAGTGAAAAGTATTTGAAAGTATTAACAGTATTTTTTTCTCATTTGCAGATTTTGTCGTCAGAGGAATTACAACACTCTCTTTATATGGTAATCTTTTACTTATATCCTTTTTATTTATAATATTTTTATTTCAAATTGTTTTGAGTCAGTATTTAAATGTTTGAATTATTTACTTACAGTGGAACGGATGAATATGGAACAGCAACGGAGGCAAAGGCACTCGAGGAGAAATTGTCACCGCAACAAGTTTGTGATAAATATTTCAATATCCATAATGATGTCTATCGTTGGTTTAATATAGGTTTTGATTATTTTGGAAGAACCACGACAGCAGAACAAACCGAGTAAGTGATGAGTGACTTTTCTTTTACTCTCGTTTGCTTCTTTGAAACGAGTCACATTTTATTTTTAATTTTATTGTCACGATAAATAATTTTATTGTAATATTCTTCAGGATTGTATTTTGATGTTTTTTTTTCTTTTCAGAATTGTTCAAGAAATGTTTCTGAGAATCAAGTCACAAGGCTATATTTTTCCTGAATCTGTAAATCAACTATTGTGCGAAAACTGCAATCGATTTTTAGCAGATAGATTTGTTGAGGGCATTTGTCCGGATTGCAAATATGAAGATGCAAGAGGCGATCAGTGTGATGGATGTGGGCATCTTATTAACGCGACTGAATTAATTAAGCCCCGTTGTAAAGTTTGCAGTAAGACGCCAATTATTAAGGCTTCCACTCAATTTTTCCTCGATTTACCTAAAGTAAGCAAATTCTCATTCTTTAATATTCAGTTTTTCCCCTATTTCAAAATTTACCTCTTTTTCTGAACTTATTTTACGCTGTGAAGCCTAATAATTATTTTTTAAATTTAAATTAATAATTAATCATTTTCAAAAAAAGTAATTTTCCGTTTTGTAAATTTTTTTAGATTCAGGATAAATTGAATGAATGGGTGAACGAAGCGGAAGGCAAATGGTCTCCAATAGCGAGAGCCGTAACGAGACCATGGCTCCGAGATGGTTTGAAACCAAGATGTATTACAAGGGATTTAAAATGGGGAATACCGGTTCCTTTGGAAGGATATCGGGATAAAGTTTTCTACGTATGGTTCGATGCTCCATTGGGTTACATTAGTATTACCAAAAGATTCACCAAGTTTTATGAGAAATGGTGGAAACCTACTGAGAAGGTTGATTTATATCAATTTATGGCGAAGGACAATGTTCCTTTCCATGCAATTATGTGGCCCGCGACACTCTTGGCTGCTGATCAAGGACACACCTTAGTTAAACATATTGCTTCGACTGGTAATATTTTACTTTATTAAATGTTTATTTTATAATTATAGTACAATGTTTAAGTACAATTCCTTTGCAGAATATCTCAACTACGAAGATAAGAAGTTCTCCAAATCGAGAGGAACTGGAGTTTTCGGCACGGATGCAATTGAAACAGGAATTCCAGCAGATGTTTGGCGATTTTACTTGGCGTACATTCGACCAGAAAATCAAGATTCCAATTTCTCTTGGACTGACATGGCTACCAAAACAAACAGCGAGCTGTTGAATAACTTAGGCAATTTCGTAAATAGGTTAGTTATTAATACAGATAATTTTATATAATTATTATATTATTTAATTTTTTAAATTATTTATGAGAATTTAGCTATTTTTTTTAAGATAATTGAAATGTTGAGGAGAATTTTTCTTTAAATTAATTAAAATATTAATTTTTCTCATTTTTCCCCATTAACAGAGGTCTTATGTTCGTCGAGAAGAATTTCGACTCAAAAATACCAATTATGGAACCACAACAAGATGACTATATAGTTTTAGCCTTAATACAAAGAGAATTAACAAACTACATTAGTTGTTTTTCGAAAACAAAAATAAGAGACGCTTTAAAGCACGTTCTTGCAATTTCGAAACATGGAAATCAATATCTTCAGTCACAAGAGCCCTGGGTAAAAATGAAGGGTTCTGAAAAGGACAGGTAAAATATAAATCTACTGCCTTAGAACAATGATAATAATTAGAATGATGATATAACGAATTTATCACTTTAGTATTTAATTAATTTGACAACCGGGTGATTAATTAATTGATTAAATTTGTTTGAAAACAGAAAAAGAGCTGGAACTGTTGTTGGTATTTGTGCTAATTTAGCGGCTTTGCTCTCTGCACTTTTGAGTCCGTTCATGCCAAGCACAGCCCGTCAATTAAGAGGACAGTTGGGAATGGACGAGAAGGAATACGGCTACATTCCTGAACTTGTAACAACGATATTATCCGCTGGACACAAAATTGGTAAACCATCGCCACTGTTTACAAAAATAGAAGCTGAACAGGTTGATGCTTTGCGTCAAAAGTATTCTGGAGAACAAGTTAAGTCTTCTCCTCAAAATGCTAAGGAATTAGAGGACAAAATACTCCAACAGGTACAAATTTAATAAATCTTTGATTTTACGAATATTATTTCAACGTGTCTCTAAAAAACAATTTTTTGCAATTAGTCGTTTTTTCTGAAATGACTAATTACTAATTAATTTATAATAATTAGTAATTTATAATTTATAATTAATAATTACTAATTACTAATTACTAATCAAAATTCTATTACAAATTTAATATAAATTTGATTTTACGAATATTATTTCAACGTGTCTCTAAAAAACAATTTCTATTATTTTAGGCAACTTTAGTCCGCGAACTCAAGTCCAAGGAACCAAAAGCAGTATGGCAACCACAAGTTGAATTATTATTAAGTCTCAAGAAGCAATTGGCAGAATGCACCGGCGCCGCGAAAACCAGTACTGAAAAAAAGTCCAAGCACAAAAAGTAAATGATAACAATGAATTTAAATCATAATAATAATTGTATATTTAAGACGTATTGAAAATTTCTTGAAATAAAAAATAATTATACATATTTAAATGGATGATTTAAATTTTTCGTAATCCTAAAAGATTTTTTTTTAAATATATTAATAATAGGTATTCAAAATAAATATAAAGATGACTGAGTGATAAAATAATTGTTTTATATATAAAAATATTGTTACTGTAACTTATTCAAAATTGTTATCATTATTTCAAATTAATTATTATTGTCTACAATTTTTAACTTAAATTCGTCTCTAAATCAATTATTTTTAATAACTTTTCAAAAATTTCTTTGAGAATTTATTTATTACTTATGAAAATGATTAAATGTTTGCGTAGAATTTTATAAAAAATTCTTTTAAATAATTGAATTTCTGCAAAAAATTTTATTACTGTTGAAAATAATTGAAATTTGCAATAAATTTTCTTAAAATTTCTTAAAATAATTGAATTTCTGGTCAGAATTTTTCTATTTATAAAAATAATTGAATTGTTGACTAAAATTCCTGAAAATAATTGAATTTTTGGTAAGAATTTTGCTATTTTTGAAAGATAATCGAAAAATTGACAAGAATTTTTTTTTTTTGAAATTTATAAAAATAATTAAATTTTTGAGAAGAATTTTATTACTTTTGAAAATAATTGAATTCTTGTCAGAAATATTGTTATTTATGAAAATAATTTAATTCTGCAATGGATTTTAATAAATTTCCTGAATTTCTAGTCATAATTTTTCTATTTATAAAAATAATTGAAATGTTGACGAGAATTTTTTGAAAATAATTGAATTTCTGCAATGAATTTTATTACAAGTCATGCGAAAATAATTGAATTTTCCTATTCATTTATAAAAGCAATTGAAATGTTGACAATTTCTTTTTTGAAATTCATGAAAATAATTAAATTTCTGCGAAGAATTTTATTACATAGTTTTAAAAATAACTAAATTTTGTAATGAATTTTATTAAAATTCCTGAAAATAATTTCTGATCAGAATTTTTCTATTTATAAAAATAATTGAATTGTTGACGAAAATTTCCAAAAATAATTAAATTTTTGTTAAGAATTTTGCTATTTTTTAAAGATAATTGAAAAGTTGAGAGGATTTTTTTTGAAATTTATAAAAATAATTAAATTTTTGCGAAGAATTTTAAAACTTTTGAAAATAATTGAATTCTTGTCAGAAATATTGTTATTTATGAATATAATTTAATTTTGCCATGAATTTTATTTAATTTCCTGAATTTTTAGTCATAGTTTTTCTATTTATAAAAATAATTGAAATGTTGATGAGAATTTTTTGAAAATAATTGAATTTTGCAATGAATTTTATTAAAATTCCTGAAAATAATTGAATTTCGGCAAAGAATTTTACTATTTATAAAGATAATTGAAAAGTTGATGAGAATTTTTTATGAAAATAATTGAATTTATGCAAAAAATTTTATTACTTTTGAAAATAATTGAAATTTGCAATAAATTTTTATATAATTTCTTAAAATAATTGAATTTCTGATCAGAATTTTTCTATTTATACAAATAATTGAAATGTTGACGAGAATTTTTTTTTGAAATTTTTGGAAATAATTGAATTTCTGCGAAAATTTTTATTAATTTTTGGAAATAATTCAATTTCTGCGAAAAAATTTATTAGTTTTGAAAAGAATTGAATTTTGTAATGAATTTTATTAAAATTACTGAAAATAATTGAATTTCTGCGAAAAATGTTGTTATTTATCAAGATAATTGAATTCTTTCGATGAATTGCGTTAAATTTTTTGAAATAATATTAAATATACCTATTTAAAAATACGAAATAGTTGCAAGAAATTGGAATTTAAAATCCTTTCTTTAATTAGAAGTCGAAAATTTTTAGTCTTAAAAAATTAATTAAATGGTTCTTTGGTCGGGACTCTCAATTTAGGATTTTTCTTCCTTTCTTGAGAGCGCGTCACATATACAAATATAATTTAATTTAAAAAAGAAATGATAGAAAAAGTATTTAAAAAATTAAGATTTATATGTTTTCAAAACTCAGGTAATGTTTCCTAATGATAAAATAAATAATATACACGCAGAATAATATGAAAACGAATTTATTAAATAGGACGTTTATCGAATGTTTATTTACAAGGTTTAATAATCTAAAATGCATAAAATGTCGATTATAAAACTGAAAGTGGCATTAATGTCTCATTATTTTTGAAATTAAGTACTTTTTATGCTCCACAGGACATGCAAGCGTCACCATTTTCACGCGAACACGCTAAAACTGCCTCGAGGTCCTCAACTTTTTTTTCCTGTTGTTCAACATCAGTGCCATTCTTAACAGCAGTTGATTTTTGCAGTCTTGTCTTGTCGACAGTGAATTGTAATGCATTTGCCGCAGGCTTCGTGCGTAAATAATACATTCCTGTCTTTAAGCCCTGAAAAAAAATTTTTTAAAAATTAAAAACAATACCAAAGTATTAAATTAAATAATACTAATTACCAAAGTAAATTAATTGACATATTAAATTTAACTAAGTGCCATAGTTCGTTACCATTTTCCATCCGTAGAAATGCATACTAGTTAAAGTTTCCGTCGTTGGCTTTAACATATGAACATTCAAAGATTGAGACTGATCAATGAAAGCACCTCTGTCTGCAGCCATTTTTAAAATTGTCTTCTGTTTTATTTCCCACACAGTCTTGTATAATTCTTTCAAGTCGTCTGGAATTCCAGCAATTCCCTGAAAGAAAATTCAATGTAAATAAATTTATTAAATATTTGAATTTATCACTCGATCGTCTTAGTTATATAAATAATTAATACACATTTATTTTGTAATTATTTGATAATACTAATAATATAATTATAATGCATACCTGAACTGAGCCATTGTTTGCGATAATTTCATTTTTCATATCTTCATCCCATAGATCTCTTTCCGTTAAATCTTTCAAAAGATGGGGATTAACAATTTGAAATTCTCCCGAAAGAACGCGTCTTGAATAAATATTGCTTGTGTATGGTTCAATTGATTCATTGTTGCCCAAAATTTGTGCAGTCGAAGCTGTTGGCATTGGCGCTAATAATAATGAATTACGAACTCCATGTTTTGCGATTTTCGCCTTTAAGGCTTGCCAATCCCAAAGATCTGTCGGTGTCACATTCCACATGTCATATTGCAAAATCTGAAAGTTGTCATATAAAATAATGCAATTATTTGAAAGTTAATTATCTATATTAATAATCGTTGTATTCTGGGCTTAATTTTTGAAAATAATTATTTATTATTTATGAAAATAATTGAAGAAAATAATTGAATTCTTCCAACGAACTTTTTTACATTTCTTTTGAATAATTGAATTCTTGTGAAGAATTATTTAAAAATTTTTGAAAATATAAATAATAATAATAATTAATTATGTACTTAATAAGAGAATTTTTTAAATTTTGATTATAATTATTCAAAGATTTAAATTTGAAAATAAAAAATTTTGTAATTTGCATAATAATAATAATATAAGTTATATATAATTTCCATTTTCAATGCTCACCCCTTTACTAACTGGACTTCCTTCGTAACTGGAGTAGGGGCCCTTTTCTTCTGCGATTTCACAACTAGCCTCCAATGCTCCGTAATAAAGAGTTTCAAAAATTTGTGTGTTCAACTTTTGTGCCTCTTCACTCTCAAATGGAAAACGCATCAACAAAAATGCATCCGCTAATCCTTGTATTCCAATACCTGAAAATTCAAAACAAATTTAAATTATTCAAATAAAAATCTAATTTTTCTTTTGTTTAGAAATAAACTTGTTTTTTTTACCAATTGGTCTGTGTCTCATGTTAGATCTCTCCGCTTCAGGTACAGGATAGAAATTATTGTCAATAATTTTGTCCAAATTTTTCGTAACAATTTTGGCAACTTCCTTAAGTTTTAAAAAGTCAAAAGTCCTACTTGTTGCATTGACAAACATATTAACGGCAATTGAAGCCAAATTGCAAACGGCCACTTCATCTGGACTAGAATATTGAATAATTTCAGTGCAAAGATTACTGCACTTTATTGTTCCAATATTTTGTTGATTTGATTTTCTATTGCAGTGATCCTTATAGAGCATATAGGGCGTTCCGGTTTCAACTTGCGAAATTAAAATTGCAGTCCAAAGATCACGCGCTTTAATTTGTCGTTTGAATTTACCTTCCGCCTCGTATTTTGTATAGAGAGCTTCAAATTCTTCTCCCCAAACGTCAGCGAGTCCTGGCGATTCGTGGGGACACATTAAAGTCCACATTTCATCGTCCATTACACGTTTCATAAATAAATCCGGAATCCAAAGACCGTAGAATAATTCTCTTGCACGATATTCCTCTTTTCCTGAAAGAATTCATGAAATTGAATTAAATAATTATCAATTCAATATTAATTTTAAATTTAAAGATTTAAAGATGAAATAAATAAATTTCAAGTATTTGGTACCGGTATTTTTCTTTAGGTCAAGAAATTCAAAAACATCAGCATGCCAAGGCTCGATGTAGATGGCAAATGCTCCGGGTCTCTTGTTTCCACCTTGATCGACGTATCGCGCGGTACTATTGTAAACTCTGATCATGGGAACAAGACCATTTGATTGTCCGTGAGTTCCTGCGATGCGAGTTCCTTTGGCTCTGATGCAATGAACATTAACGCCGATTCCACCGGCGGATTTACTAATAAGTGCACATCTTTTTAAAGTATCGTAAATGCCTTCAATACTGTCTTCAGACATCGTTAAAAGGAAACAACTGTAAGGAAAAAAAAAAGTTATATATATTTTTTTAAAGTTATATTTTTGGAATTTTTCCTAAAAATAAGGGGAAAATAATATTTAAGAAAATACTCAATAAAAAATAGACAATATTAAAACAGAATTAAAATTAAATTTACCTGGACATTTGTTCTCTCAAAGTACATGCAGAGAATAATGTGGGTGATGCGTGAGTGAAATAGCGTTCAGATAGATGATTATAAGTTTCGATGACTTTGTCAATGTCATCACGATGAATGGCTACTGCAACTCTCATCAACATGTGCTGTGGCCTTTCAACGACTTTACCATCTATCTTAAGTAAATAACTCCTCTCCAGTGTTTTAAATCCAAAATAATTATAACTAAAATCGCGATCGTAAATTATAGCTGAGTTCAATCTCTCTGCATTTTTTTGTATAATTTGATAATTATTGTCATTAATCATAGACATTCTTTCTTTGGTATTGCTATCTATCATCTCATATAAATCAGTTATGACCTCTGTAAATAATACATTACATTTTAAATTACATAAAATTTAAATTACATTCTGCTTCTATATTTAGTTTTGTGAAAAAGAAAATTTCTTTTCAAACTAACCGCTGAAAGCCTTTTTCGTTTCTTTGTGAAGATTTGAAACTGCAATTCTGGCTGCTAGAATTGCATAATCAGGATGCTTGGTAGTCATTGTTGCTGCAGTCTCAGCAGCAAGATTATCCAATTCAACAGTTGTCACTCCAGAATAGAGTCCATTGATTACACGAAAAGTAATTGCAGGCTGAAAACAAATTTAACATTAAAATAGTGGAACCAACAATTAAAATTTTATTTTCTAATAAAGGACAAGACATATTTACTCATCACTAATAAAATTAAAATACAGGGCTCGAAGCAGTGAAAGTATTTAAAAATACGGACTTTACGGACCAACTGAGAAAAATAATAATTATTTTTCATAATTTCTATGGAATCTAATTAAAAATTTACATAATTTTGAACTTGTGAAATTGAAAGTAAACTAATTGTTAAAAATATAATATTTATTTCCTATAATTTTTAAGAAATCTAATTATTATTTAAAATAATTAATGTTTTACATATTCTTTAAATAATCGAAATTTAATAAAAAAAATAATAATAAAATAAAAATAACAATTACATATAATGATGATAATTTGAGTGCAATCATGCTCCCAAATAAATATAACTTACTGGATCCACATAATCCATGTCCAAGCCATAGCAAAGTTTTTGTATTCTCGAAGTGATTTTGTCAAAATGCACCTCTTCCTTAATACCATCTAAACAGAAAATAGTAATTTTTAATTATAACTATATAATAGTAAACAAAACAGATTATACGCAGTATCATAAAATCATTAACTTATTTAAAATTTTTCAATTTTCAACCACATATATCAATATAAAAACAGAATTTATTATAAATATCAATTTAATACGACAAATTAATTATATAGTAAGTGAAATAAGGAAAACTTTATAGTAACAAAGAATTGTAAAAGAATATTGCTACAATCATTTTTGATGATATAACAGAAATATTTATAATTAATAAATACTTACTACGCTTCAAAACGAACATCTTGCCCTTAGCAACCATTCTCGGCTATTCACAGTTTTTAGAAATTAAAGAAACTAAAGAAAATATAATTTTTCAACGAGACAATATAATTTTATGTCCTTCTATGTGACACGAGGTTAAATGTTAGCTTTTGGCGGGATTTAAGCTAAAATAAGCGGGCTTTTTTGTTGTCATTTTGCAGAAAAGGCGCAATAACCAGAGATGAGTTGTAAACTAGTGTCAAACCTCTGTAATACGACAAATTACGTCTCGAAATAAAGCTAATTCACACCGAAAAAAACACACTATCTCTGGAAATAATGAACAACTACCCAACCCTGCTTAGGATACATCCACATGTAAATTTTACGCGCATGTTGTGAACTGATCACATAATATTGTTTTCCCTGTTTTACATGTTGTTTATTATAAATATGCAATCTTTTAATATTGTTAAATCATTTTAAAATCAATAAATATATAGTTACATGATTAAAAATATTTAAAAAATGAACACTGTTGAAACGTTTCAATTAGATGTATGGAAAGGTGATTGGGGTTTACCTTCTATAGACATTAATTGTCTTCAAGCACTGGTTAGTTTTTATTTATAGGTTATGTGATTTTTTAAAAATATTTCTAAAATTTATTAATAAAACAATTTTGAATTAAACATTAGGAATATTTATGATTATTAGAAACAATTAATTTATTAAATTTTATCCTAGTATTGCTTTTCAGATGAAGAAGTAAAATTATGTCAATTTATTCACAACTTAACCTCTTAAAAGAAAAATCGATATAATATTTTTTTCCATTTCTGAAAGTTTATTAATTTTTTATTCCTTATAGTAATTCCAAAAAATTTTGATTCAAATTACTCAAAGTTGTTTTCGATTTTTGATTCATTGCAAATTTTGTTTATATATATTTTTTTATAAATAAAAATTTGTAATAAAGAATTAATAATGGTTTTTTTGTATTTTTGTTTTTTCTAATTTATCTGTTTTTCTTATTTTTAACTGCAAAAATAGAAACAAAAATTGCAACATTTTTTAATTTGTAAATAAATTAATTTTGAATTACTTTTTTCAGGCCTATGCGAAATTTTGTAAAATTCCACTGAAAGTAAACGCAACAAATAATCCATTTCGAAGTCCGAATGGTCAGTTACCAGTCTTACGACATCAATACGGCACTGATTATACAATTAAAAATATTTTACAATTTTTTCGAGTTAATAATTATTGCCTTGATTTTGGATTGAGTCCGAAACAATGCGCGGATGTAAACGCATACGACACTATGCTCAAGGAAGAAATATTTCCAGCACTACAATTTATATGGTATTTTTTTCAAATTTTCAATTATCTCCATTCTAATTGTAAATAATTGAAAAAAAAATTTTTTTGATTGCAGAAATTCAATTATTTTCAAAAGAAATACAATTCTTCTTAGAAATTCAATTATTTTCAAAAAATTTACAATAATTCTAATAGAAATTTCAATTCTCTTTGTAAATAATAATAATTCTTCTCCAAAATTCAATTATTTTCAAAGATTTTAATAAAATTCTTGGCAAAATTTCAATCATTTACCAAAATTTTCCAGAATTCAATGATTTTTATTATCTACTATTTTAATAAAATTTTCCGAAAGAATTCAATTATTTTTCAATTATTTACAAATTATTTATAAATTTCTTTTCAAAACTTCAATTATTTTCATAATTAATAGAATTTTTTTATGAATTCAATTATTTTCATAAATAATAAAACTTCATCGCAGAATTTCAATTATTTTTAATACAATTCCAATTAAATAAATTTGCAATTAAATGTAATAGGACATTTTTTTGAGTATCTAATAATTTTTAGAGTGAATCAGAATTTTCTTAGGGGTTAGAAAAAAAGTCAAAATTTTTGTCTGGAAATATGGGAAATACAAAATTAAATTGGAAAACCTGTTCACAGTTTTCACTTTTCAATTCTGTTTTTTATATTCGCATTTTTCTAATATATATTTTAACGAAAAAAAAATTCCAAAAGGTGGGTTGACGAGAGAAATTATCGACAAGTCATTAGACCATGGTACGGAAAAGCAATGCCATTTTTATTAAATTATTATTATCCTGTAAAATACGAGACAGAGGCAAAGAATTTAATGGAATCGTTATATCCCACCGAGGATGAAATTACAAATATCGAAACTTACGTGAGTTGCAAAATTTTCCGCAAAAACAATTTCGTTGTAATTTAATTTTAGCTAAGAATTTTCAATTTTTCCTTTTCTTTTTTTTTTGCTTATAGGTTTATGCGAAGGCACAAAAATGTTTAACTTTACTTTCAAATCGTTTGGGTGATAAGGATTATTTTTTCGGTTCATCGCCAACTACACTCGATGCCATTGTCTTTTCCTATTTGGCGCCAATATTAAGAATACCATTGCCAAATTCAAGACTGACAACACACCTCAAAGCTTGTACAAATTTGGAAAATTTCATCGTGAGAATATCGGTGAAATATTTCGAATATGAATATAGATCGTACGAGAGTGAGAAGACGAAAAATAATTCTGAACCAAAGAAAAATGAGGACGATGTGGATTTTCCAAATAAATCGAGAAATAAAATTTTAGCGGCAATTTTTGCCGTTACTGCCATGTTAGGCTATGCCACAGCTAGTGGAATTTTAGAGGTAATTATAGAAAGTGTTTCCAAATTACGAATTTAAAAATTAAAATTTTAAATTTTAAATTACAATTTTTTCAAGAAAATTTGAAAATAATTTTTTAAATCAATCTTCTTTTTTATAAAAAATAAAAATAAAGGCGGTTTTGCAAATTCTATGAATTTATTTTAACTGTTCTTTTTTCTATACGTAAAATATATAAAATTTGCAAAAGTTTCATTTATTTCTTCATTATTTAAAATATAATTTCAAAATGAAAATTTGACCAGGAAACATCAGAATTCAGATGTTTTTCAATTTTTAGGTGGTAACTTATTTAATAAGACACAGAAAGTTTCTTAGATTATCTAAAAAAGCACGAAAACGTGAGTATGTCATGAATTTGCAAATCCTTTACCTATTATTAACCCAGCTTTTTTTTTCTTACTCAAAAAAATATTCGTTTTCGGTTAATTTCATTTTCTCTGCTCAAAGATTATTAATTATACATTTAATATTTATAATATAATTAATAAAAATTAAATAATTATCATTAGTGTTAATTAATTTATATAATTAATAATTAAGTACGATAAAAAGTAGAAGAAAATTAATTTCACTGATAACGAATTTCGAAACTGAAAAAAATTAATTAAAGTGCATGCTTCATTAGAAATTGTAAAATGTAAAAAAATATATGCAACGTTTATTAATGAAGTAGCAAATGTTACGCGCGGAAAGTGATAATCAATTTATTATTGTTATGCAAATTACAAAATTTTTTATCTTCAAATATAAATTTTTGAATAATTTCATAATCAAAATTTTTAAAATTTACTTATGAAGTACAAAATTAATTATTATTATTATTTATATTTTCAAAAATTTAAATATAATTCTTCGCAAGAATTCAATTATTTTTGTATAAATAATAACATTTTTCGAAAGAATTCCATTATTTTTATAAAATAGTAAAATTTTCTTGCAAAAATTCAATTAATTTTGACAAAATTCTAATAAAATTTCACAAAAGAATTCAAATATTTTCTAAAATTTTAATAAATCCTTCTAAACAATTCAATTATTTTTTTAAATAGTAAAATCTTTGCAAAAATTCAATTATTTTAATAAAAATTCTACCAAAGAATTCAATTTTTTTAATTCGTTATAAACTTTTCAAAGGAATTCAATTATTTTCTAAAATTTTAATAAATTCTTCGCAAGAATTCAATTATTTAATAAATAGTTAAAGTCTTTGCAGTAATTCAATTATTTTCAAAACAATAAAATAAATTCAATTATTTTTTAAAATCTTTAATAAGTCCTTCGAAACAATTCAACTATTTTTATAAATACTAAAATTATTTGCAGAAATTAAATTATTTTTAATCCAATTTAAATAAAATTACACAAAAGAATTGAATTATTTGAAAAAATTTCCATAAAATTCAATTTCAACAAGAATTTAAAATTCTCTATAAAAAAAATTTAATTATTCTCAAAATATTTTTAAAAAATTCTATATGAAAATTAAATTACTTTCAATGCAATTTTTCAATATATTCGTCAAAAAAATTGAAAGAATTCAATTATTTTGAAAATATAATAAAATTCTTCTGATGAATTCAATTATTTTCAATAAACTTAATTTTAACAAAATTCTTTACAGAAATTCAGTTATTTTCGAAACTACTGTAATTCAATTTCTCGAAAGAATTTAATTTTTTTCAAATATTTCTATAAAATTCTTCAAAAAAATTCATTTGCTTTCAAAATTTTCAATTAAAATTATTAAAGTTACTCCATTATTTTAAAAAAATTCAAAGAAATTCTTCAAAAGAATTTAATTACGATTTTTAAAAATTTTAATAAAAGAACATTAAAATGAATACAGTTTTTTAAGATGGAAAAAACTATTTATTGTACATTTTAATAATTTCTATAACACTCAATAAAAAATTGATTTGAAATTGAAAATTTGATTTGAGAAGAAAAATTCTAAAAAAATCTATTTTGTTAAAAGGTACCGACAAAAAATGAAGACAGCGATTTCGACTCCACCGAATATATGTTTAATAATCAAGATTTTGACGACGAAGATTATGAAGAGGAATAACATTCGGTGAACTGACATTTTTAATAAAAGAAAAATAGACTTTTTTTTAAATTTAAAGAAAAAAAATAGTTTAAGTTAACACTTTTTGTGTAAAGATAGCACGTCGTGCCAGAAATGTTTTTTTTTTTAAAGAAAATATTTAAAATCGAAAAGAGAAACATAAAATGGAAAGAAGAGAAAAATTTTTAGTACAATTTTGTATGCATATTAGAATGTTTACAATTACATATTTTACAAATAAATAACTCTTGTATAAAATATGATTATTTTTTTTTCTCAAAATTAATATTATATCTCTAATGATGTCTTGGTCTGTACCTTGGAATTATTCCCGTTGTCGCCGTTTGAATTTCTTCCGTAAAACTATCGAAATTATGAATTGTCGTCCCGCCGAGAATTATTTTTGTATCCGTATTCAGACGATTTAAATTGTGCACTGCCAAACTCTCCTCGTAAGTTGTTCCGCCGACGATAAATACAATTATCTCCTGTGGCCTGTTGAAAAATTTTATTTAAATTTGTAAAAAAAAGTTTACTTCAAAATTTAAAAATTAAAAAATTACTTTAAAAATAAAATTTGTTTAAAAATTTCTAAAATTACTTTAAAAATAAAATTTGTTTTGAAATTTTCTAAATTACTTTAAAAATAAAATTTGTTTTAAAATTCAAAAAGTTACTTTAAAGATGAAAAAATTTGCTTTAAAATTAAAAAAAGGTTTGATGATCATTTAGAAAAAGTACCTTTTTGTCATGACCATGTTTCCAAGATAGGGAAATGTTTGTACATTCAATTTTCCCTTCACCATGTCTTCTAGGGTCTCGAACAAAAGTGGCGAATGTTGTGTGTAAATATTGTCGACACCGCTTAAACCTTTGAATAATTTCTTTGTAATTTTAGCGACAGCCTCGTGATTGAATAAATTACTTTGTCTTGAATTCACTCCACTGTATTCCAGTAAATTGTAAACCAGCTGAAAAAAAGGAATTTCTTTTTTAAATCGATCTCTGTTAATATTTGTATAGTTTATTGATAGACATGTATTTTAAATAAATAATAAAAAACAAAAAAATTGTGAAATTGTTAAAAACGATATTTTGTTTCGTTTTTCTCTTTACCTTTGTGTATTTTTCCGAAACGCCACGTTTTTTCAACATTTCCAATAAACCAGTAATGTCATTATTTGCATGTTTTTCGTAATGAAGTGCGTACAGCATCACTAATCTTGTTGCATCTTTGTCCCGGACACGGGTGTCGTTTATGAGTTTCTTTATTTTCTGCAACTGTAATATTATTTCTGTTTATAATTGTCTATAGATTTTTTTATTCCTTTTTATTTCTTTAAACAGGATTTATTAAAATATTCCTTTAAATATTTTTTTATTTCAGTAAATAATTAAAATTTTTTAATTTCAATAATTAATTTAAAAAAAGTAAAAATATTCAATTATTATCTAAAATTTTAACTGCAATTCAATTTTAAATCAATTCTATTAGAAACTTCAACCAGAATTCAAATATTTAAATAGAAAAATAAATGATTGATAGAATAATTGATTATTTCTTAAAAATGGAACTTTCAGAAAGAATTTTATCAAAACTTTTTTAAATAATTAAATTCTTGGGACGAATTATAATAAAGTTTTTAAGAATAATGACATTTTCCGAAGAATTCGTTTAAAATTGTATTAAAAATAATTGAATTTCCAGAAAGAATTTTATTATTTATAAAAATAATTGAATTTTTGGAAAGGATTTTATAAAAAATTTGTAAATAAATGAATTTCTGTGAAATTTTTATTATTTATGAAAATTATTAATTGTTTGTGTAGAATTTTACTTTTTATAAAGATAATTGAAAAGTTGACGAGAATTTTTTTTTGAAATTTTCGAAAATAATTGAATTTTTGCGAAGAATTTTACTATTAAAAAAAATAATCGAATTGTTTCGAAGAATTGATGAAAATTTTAGAAAATAATTGAATTTTTGTAAAGAATTTTACTGTTTATAAATATATTTGAATTTTGTTAAAGAATTTATTAAAATTTTAGAAAATAATTGAATCTCTGCGAATAATTTTTCTATTTATAAAAATAATTGAAATGTTGACGACAATTTTTATTGAAATTTTTGAAATAATTGAATTTCGGCGAAGAATTTTATGAATTTTGAAAATAATTGAATTTTGCAATGAACTTCATTAAAATTCCTGAAATAATTGAATTTCTGCGAAGAATTTTGGTATTTATCAAGATAATTGAATTTTTTCCATGAATTGCGTTAAAATGTTTCAAACAATATTAAATATATATATTATAATATATTTATTATTTATGAAAATAATGTAAATCAATAATTTAATTCTTTCGAATAATTTATTTAAAATTGTATTAAAAATAATTGAATTCTTCCTAAAAATTGTATTATTTAGGTAAATAATTTAATTTTTATAAACGAATGTTATCAAAATTTTAGAAAATAATTAATTTCTTTTAAAGATTGTTATTAAAATATTTTAAATAATTGATTTCTTTCGAGTAATTTTAATAAACATTTTAAAAATAATATTTTTTAAATGAATTAATTTAAAAGGGTAATAAAAATAATTGAAATCTTGCAACGAATTTAGTGAATTTTTTAAAATAATTGAATTCCAGTGACAAAATTTATTAATCGTAAAAATAATTGAATTCTTGCGAAGGAATTTCTTAAAATTCAGGGAAATAATTGAATTTTTTAAATCATTTTATGAAAATTTCAAAGAAAAATCCAATTATTTCGAAAATAATTTAATTAAAATTGTATTAAAAATAATTGAATTTTTCTTAAAAATTTTATTATTTATGAAAATTATTTTAATTTTTATAAACGAATCTTATCAAAAATTTTAGAAAATAATTAATTTCGTTCAAAGAATTTTAATAAATCTTTTGAAAATAATTACATTTTTCAATGAATTCATATTTAAAATTGTATTAAAAATTAATTAAAAGCCTGTAAAGAATTTTATTATTTTTTCAAAATAATTTAATTCTTGCAACGAATTTTATTGAATTTTTTCAAATAATTGAATTCCAGTGACAAAATTTATTATTTTGTAAAAATAATTGAATTCTTGCGAAGGAATTTCTTAAAATTTAGGGAAATAATTAAATTTTTTTTAATCATTTTATGAAAATTTCAAAAAGAAAAAAAAAATTCAATTATTTCGAATAGTTTATTGAAAATTGTACCTGAGTGGAATGTTCGCTTTGGCAACTGAGTTCCTGTTCCAATTCGGAAACTTCGAGTAAATTATGCTCGCCAACCATTGTTGAAAGTTCACCGACGAGTGTCACGTGTTTGGCGACTGTCCCAGACATTTTTTTAAATAACGGATAAGCCTCGACAAAATTTTTCATGTCCGCTATACTTTCAACTTTTTGATGTTTCTTCGCTCTCCTTTGAAAATCTTCCATTAAGTCTTTTATCGTCTGGCCAATCTCTCCAAAGTTTAGATATAAATTCTGTATTTTTTTTCACAAATCGAAATTATTAGTATTTAAATTTTTCAATTTATAATTAAAATGAATTAAAGTAGAAATTAAAAAATATAAGAATAAAAATAAGAATAAGAATTTCTTATTCTTATTTTTATTCTTATATTTTTTAATTTCTACTTTAATTAATTTTAATTATAAATTGTAAAATTTAAATACTAATAAATAAGTAGTAAAATATATAAAATCTAAATTTAGTAAAAAATAAAAAAAAATACTAACGTTCTCATAAAATTCATCATGTTGAGCACTGATGACAACTTCCTGTAATTCCTTAGAAATTCCTTTAACGTGCGACAAATCAACTCTATTATTATTAATAGTTAAAAGTTCATGAACCATCGCCTGATATGTCCATTGATTAAGTAGAGGCGTGACAGGATCGTCCTTTCTATCGAGAATGAGAAGAATTGAATTTGATTCCTCGCGAAATTTAAAGGAATTCGATTCTCGCGTTAGAACTTCGCGAATTTTTTCCGATAATCTTTTAGCCATTTCAGAACTGTTTTGATAACGAATGTAGGGACATTTCTTAAGGGACAATAGAACGGCAGTTATTCCTTGTACCGTTCGATGAAGATTTCCAGGATTCCAAGTTAAACCTGTTTTTTTTTTTAAAAAGAGAAAATAATTTAGAAGAGAAATTTGGCAATTCTTTTTTAGGAAAAAATGTAAAATAATAAATTACCTTGGCAACAGGCATTGATTCCTAGGGAAAATAAATGTGGACTCACAGCCAAATAATCTGCATAATATTCGTGAACTTCCCTCACAACTTCTTGTTCATCGCTCTCGGCTAATAATTTTATATCTGCTTTTGCTATAATATTGCTAAAATCTGAAAATTGTTTTTAAATTAAATTAAATTGTTATAAATTTAGGATTTTAGAAAATTAGGTTTATATTTTTTTTTATTTATTTTTTTTTTGTTTGTTTAATTTTATCTAATTATTTATTTTACAAAATTCAATTCAAATTAAAATATTTATGAAAATTAGGTTTATAATTTATATAGAATTAAATAATTTATTAAATATTTTTTTAATACTACAATGAAATTAATATTTTATCCTAAATTATGAAATTAATTCGGAATATAAATTATAAAATTAACAATTAAAAATTAATTAAAAATATTAAATATTTTTTTTGCTAACTTCTTTCACCTTTGATTATTAACATTAAATATTGTTTTTAATCTTGAATAAAGAAGTAGACAATTTTCTATTTTGTGTTGAAAAAAAAGATGGAATTCTAGAAGAAGGAAAAATATAAAAAATACTCACAAATATAATAAACGCCATATTTTGGATTTCGTAATTCATTGCACAGTAAAGCAACATTTTCTTTGGTAGGTCTGACGAAAACAATACATTTTAAATGTTTTAAACCCTCACTGCGAGCAGCTGCATCGATTCTCTCGAATAGATAAACCTCTTTCATGAGAATTTCCGATTGACTATAAACCAAACTCACAATACTTATCTAAACAGAAATCAATTTCCAATTATTATTTTTCTATTCTTTTATGTATTTTTTATTTTATTATTGTTGTCAACATTATTTTATCGTCAGTGTTAATCTTATTGTTGTTACTAATTATTGTTACTATTATTCTTATTATTACTACTACTATTATTATTTTTACTATTCTTATTATTTCTATTATTGTTAATGTTAAAAATGTTTCAATTATAAATTATTACCTATTAATATACTATTAATTATTAAAAATATAATAAATGAGAATTTTCCTAAAAAAGACAAAATAAAAGAGTAAACATAACCTAGAAATTTATATTATACCGTTTGTTTGTCCATTAAAAGAACTTTCATTCCTGGACCACTTTCCTCAGTCATTTTTGTGATATAAAACTTTAAAGCAGTAACGACATTCATCTTGTTGAGTGGACCTTTTAAATATATTATTAATAAAATTACAAATATTTTGTTGACGTTCCTCCTTCCGTCACAAGTGTCAAACTGACAGGCGTGAATTTAAATTTTTACGCACTTGACGTTTTGGCGGGAAATCAACTCCCTCCGTGATTTTAAGCAGTATTTTGAATTCAAAAAGAAAACAATTACAAATTTGTTTATTATAAATCTAGTAAAAATGATTAATTTTTCAAATTAAATTCTTTTTGAAGAATTAAAAATTTTTTTTTTTAAATAATGGAGTTTTTTAAAAATTTTAATTACAAATTTTTAAAATAATTGAATATTTCTTTCAAGTTTTTAAAATAATCGTGTTTGTTAATAATTGAAATTAAACCTTATTAATTATTGTATTTTATTACAATTTTAGAAAATAATTGAATTTTTTCGAAATTATTATTAAATATAAAAATAAATTAAATTCTTTCATGAAATTTTATTAAAATTGTATTAAAAATTATTGAATTTTTGTAATGAATTTTACTGTTAATAAATATAAATGAATTTTGCTGAAGAATTTATTAAAATTTTAGAAAATAATTGAATTTCGGCAAATAATTTTGCTATTTGTCAAGTTAATTCAAATCTTGATAAAAATTTTTTTTATTTTTGAAAATAATTGAATTGCTGCAAAGAATTTTATTTGCTTTTAAAAATAATTGAATTCTTGTGTTGAATACTGTTAATAATTGAATTCTATTTAATTTTTTTATAACCAATTAAAAATATAATTAAATTCTATTGGAAGTTTTTATAACCAATTAAGAAAAAATCGAATTCTTTAGTGAAATTTTTTAGAAAATAATTGAATTGTTGCAAAGATTTTACTATTTTAAAAAATAATTGAATTGTTTCGAAGAATTCATTAAAATCATAGAAAATAATTGTATTCGTTCGTGAAATGTTATTAATATTTAGTTTAAAAGTAATTGAATTTTTGCAAAAAATGTTACTTTTTATAATAATAACTGAATTCTTACGAAGAATTTTATGATAAAAGAGAAAAGACTTTCAAATGCAAAATTCAATTATTAAATTATTTATTTGCGTGCCTTATTTTACTTGACTAAATAAAGAATTTAAATTTACATTGCATTTCTCTTTATCTAGACAACAGTATTTAAAGAATAGGAAATTGTTTTTTTCAAATAAGAAAAAATCGAGTAGATATAGAAATAGAAATTAAAAAGAAACGTAAATAATAATAAATTCTATCTACTTTGAAGAAGAGAAAATTCTATCGAAGAATTTAAGTTAAAATAATTGGTGGCTCTTCCGAAGGCGGTAGAACACTCGTCTCTTGTGTCTCGACTATTTTACTTCGAATTATATTCCCATCGGCGTCCATTTCATCAATTGAAATGAGAATATTGGAAATAATTGGCATCGATTTTCCCATTCCATGTGTTTCGCCTTCATCAATTTCCAAATTCCCCTCAATCTCCAAGTCTTCGTCTTTTAATTTATCCTGCGCCTCCACAACCTAATTAAAAGAGAAATTATTCTTTAGACCTTTCAATAATTTTAGTTAATTAATTGGGATTAATTTATTTTTAATTTAATTCATTTCTTTGAAAAATATGATGAATTAATTTTTTTGAAAAATTTAATGAATTTACTTCTTTGAAAAATTTTAAAAATTAATTTCTTTGGAAAATGAAAAGAGACAAATATTTCACCTCAACGCAAATATCCTCGGCTTGTGTAATTTTGAGAGTGTAATTCTTATCCAGAATTACACCATTCGAAACAACATCGTTTGATTTCACTGATTTATCAGATATTGTAGTGACTTCGTTGTCTTTACAAAATTCAAATCTTGTCGTTTGAACGCGATAACAACCGTCGACGCATCTCTGATATTGAAAACGTTTATGTCCAATATTCAACGATATGTGATGAACGTCTATCAAATGTCTCGTGAGTCGGTAGCTCTTTTGATATTTCACTGGACATTCGTGGCAACAATACCATCTTGTTTCCTGACAATGTACTTTTTCCACGTGCCTGTAACAAAACAAATTAACCCTTTTAGTCTCAGAATTAAAAACAATTTTTATTTTCCTCTTTTTGAATTTAAAAAAAAGTCTTTTAAAATTAAAAACAATTTTTTAATTTCTTTTTAAGTAAATCACGTATTTTAAAAAAAAAAGTGAATAAAAAATAATTAATTTTTGAAAATGGCGTTGGATATGAAAGAAAATAGAAAATTAATTATCACCTGTCTAGAACGTAGGCGTTTTTACATTGATAAGCACAGCCGTCAACTGAACAACGAAACATTGGTTCTTTTGTATGCACAGACATGTGATAGTCCAAATCCTGTTGGGTTTTCGCCGTGTGTTTACATAATTGACAAGCAAATGCCCTTTCGTCTAAATGCCTGTAGCGAATATGTTTGGCGAGCGTGGCCGGCGATTCACAAATCATATCACATAAATTGCATTTTTTCGAATAAAAATGCTGTCTCACGTGGCCCTGTAGTATTTTTTCGGTTGGATAGAATTTATTGCAAAACGAACACAAAAATCCTTGCGCTAAAAACGAAAATTAAAATTTTTAACAAAAAATAGTATTACTTTTTAAAAATGGCAGTAATTTTTAAAGCTATTTTTTTAAATTTACAGTATTTTTGTTTTTTATACACTTTACTTACTGTCAACTGAAATTTGACGATCGCAATGCTCTCGAAATTTGGAATTTGTCGAAACCATTAAACCACAATCGGGACAAGCGATTGTTTTCTCCTTCGTATGACTTCTCATGTGATCCTTAAGTTTATGAATACTGGGAAAATTATTTTTACAACCCGACCATTTACATTGAATACCGCCCTCGACTTTATTGCCACGTGGATATTTTTCCATATGAATCGTAACGTGATCCAAAAATGTCTGATATTTGTTAAAAGTCTCCAGACAATCATTCCATTGGCAAATTAACGTTGGTGGCAGTTCCATATTTGACCAGTCGGTTTCACGAAGACATTGCTGAACAAAAAAGCAAAAAAATTACATCCAAGATTACAAAATAATACAAAGAAGCATAATCAGGTTTCGAACTTGATAATTAATTTTAAAAAAGTAGCTTTAAGACAGCAAATAATTAGTAAAAAAAAGTAGCTATGGAAAAATTAAATTCGCTGACTCAATTTTCTCATATTTTATAAATTAAATTACATTTAAAAATATTTATTTCAAATAAATATTTAAATACATAATTTTCCACAGGAATTCAAATATTTTAAATGATTTCAATATAAAGTCCTTATGAAATTTAACTATTTTGAAAAAATACAATTGTAATTCTTCCATAATTCAAAATATTTTTTTAAATTTTTGACCAAAATTATTCAAAAATTGTAATAATTTTATTTCAGAATAAAAATATTATTATAGTTTTATAACAATTACAATTTTTAAAGATTTAAATTGAACATATCTTTTCAATTTTAATTATTTCTAAAAATTAACACTATAACGATTCTAATATTCAATTAATATCTAAAATTTTAACTGATATTCAATATTTTGAAACAATTATTCTCAGAAAAATAAATTGAATTTTACGAGAATTTAATTATTTAAATTTTAAATACAAAAATAAATAATTTATTGAATAATTGAATATTTCTTAAAATTGAATTCTTATGAAGAACTTTATCAAAATTTTTTTAAAATAATTAAATTGTTATAAAGAATTTTATTACAATTTTTAGAAAATAATTTAATTCCTGAGAAGAATTTGATTAATTATGAAAATTCTTGAATTCCTGAGAAGAATTTGATACAAATTTGAAATAGTTGAATTACCGTGAAAAATTTTACTATTTGTGAGAAAATAATTGAATTGTTACAAAGAATTTTATTAAAATTTTTGAAAATTATTAAACTCTTTCAAGTTTAATTAAAATTATTGAATTGTAGTAAACAAATTATATCAAAATTTTTTTTTAATAATTTAATTCTATCGAAGAAATTTAATAAAATTTTTAAGAATAATTGAATTTTCGAAGAATTTATTTAAAATTGTATTAATTTTTATTAAATTTTTTTAAATAATTGAATTCCAGTGAGAAATGTTATTATTTACGAAAATAATTGAATTTTATCAAAGAATTTCATTATTCGTGAAAATAATTGAATTCTTGCGGAAGAAGTATCCAAATAGTAGCAAATCGTAAAAAAAAGTAGTAAATAGTAGATTTTAGAGATCAGTACGAATCCTGAATAAATAAACAATAAGTACAGAATAGTTAAAAAAAATATTACCGTCAATTTATTTCGTTGCTTAAAATTATATCCGATTGATTTCAATTTCTGATGATACGAATGATAATAAATGTGCCAAGTGATTTCGGTTGTTAATGAAGTTTCGTAGGGACAATTTTTCCAACCACACACATAAGTTGCAGTATTATTGTCAAATATTTTCAATTCCAATTCGGGAATATGCGAACTCATGTGATCGAGAAATACTTTTTCCTTTGATGTTTCCACTGAACAATTCTTCCATTCGCAACGTAAAATTAATTGTTCGTCCTTTAATTTTGTTCCCAGTCGACGTTTTTTTGCGCCACATTGTGAGACCGAGTCAAATTCAGAATTTGAAACTGTATCCTCCGATTCATCTAAATTCAAAATTGCCAATGGATCCTCCTCCGTTGGCACCATTATTACTTGTGATTCAACCCAAGTGCTACATCTTTGATGTAATTCTTTTGTTTTTATCATTTTCTTCACCATGTCACCCATTTTGATTCACGAGATTCACAATTATTTTTTTGGAATTTTCCACTATCTGGAAATGTTTTTTTTTACCTTTTGGAAAAGAAAAAACAGAATTTAGAAATAAATCTTTGTTTATAGATGTTGTACTGGAAAATTTACATTTTCCAGTACAATATCTATAAACAAAGATTTATTCAAAGATTCTTATTTAAATAATACGAATTTCAAACTTTTTTTTTGAGGTTAAAATCTCAAAGATCTCAATTTGAAACAGGAAAAAACTTAATATTTCTATATTCAAATACAGCAGGCAAATAGTAAACAAAAAGCATTTAACAAAAAGATAACATTCAAAAACTTACAGTTTTCGTAAAAAGTCTCCTAGTGGATAAATATTTTCTTGTTTTGTTAATTCAGCAAACATTCGTCCATGATTGAAGACGCCAATTTTTTGTTTTTCAAACAAACGATTTTAATACTCCTTAAAATAGTTAATTTCTTTCTGTCAAACAATAATTACATTGAAAAATAATGAATTCACTGTAATTTCACAAGTTTTAAACTCTTTTAGAAGGAAAATATGACACTATTTGGTAAAAGTTTCATCTGTAATTCATTGCTACGAAATTACTTGTGCTCAAACATTCACTTGCGACAATGGAAATATTTTGGCAGTTCGTTCACAACAAACAGTTCAACTATTTATGCATTGTCATCAGGTAATTTTTACATTTACCTCAAAATTATCTCATTTTCTCTCTTTTTTTTGGGTAATTTCGTTTCGAATTTGACGAAATTCTTTGACTTAAAATCGTGAATTAAAGAGTTTTTTAAACGTGACAATAGACGCAATGTTATTGTGTTATTTCGTCTGCTAGTTCACTTTGTTTATTTAGACAACTTTGAATTCGAAAATCGAAAAGTGTTTCAAGCTTTAGAAATTGTTTATCTCGTTGTCAAAATTATAATAATTTGGTAAATATAACTTTATTTGTGTTTATTATAAACGTCTGTTTCTCGTGATGCGAAAATTTAAATTCTAACCTATAAATTGTGTTTTGGCAATTAAATTTTAATATCAAGACTATTAATAATAATAGTAACAATAACAATAATGAAAGCAATAATAATATTAATAATTGGAATATTAATAACAGCAGCAATAATAACACAGAAAATTTTTTAATTCTAACCTAAAATTTGACAATTTCGATCTGTTTTCTTCGTTTTCTTTAAATTTTTGTTAATTTGCAGTTATTTTATCAACTGCTAAATCTAAGCTATTAATAAAGTTGTTTAATTTTTTTATTGTAAAGCTGGTGCAATTTTTAATTTTTATTTTATTTCGCAGGACAGGGAAAATGTGGAGTAGCTGTGGTCAGGATTTCCGGCTTCGAAGCCTTGAAAGCTTTGCAAAAGATGACAAATTTGTCAAATCCAAAACCAAAGACTGCATTTCTTCGCAAAATACACGATCCGGAAACTGGAGAAATTATAGATAAAGGATTATGCCTATGGTTTCCTGGTATATTTAATTTTTTAAAAATTCTTTTTTACACCATAAAAAAACATTGATTTTTTCACCACTCTTATTTTCAAAAATACTGAAATTCTTCGATGAAATTCAAATATTTTCAATATTTAATATTTACCAATTTAATAAAAAAATATCTCAAAAGAATTCAATTATTTAAAAAGAAAATGTAATAAAATTCTTCTCAAAAATTCAATTAATATCGTGAATAATAAAATTTTCACAGGAATTCAATTATTTGAATTAATCGCAAGAATTCATTCATTAAAAATTCTAATTTTATAAAAGTAATAATCCAATAATATAATATAGAATTTGTTTTTAAAAGAATACTAAATTTCCAGGCCCGAAATCATTTACTGGCGAGGATACGGTCGAATTTCAAGTTCATGGCGGACCAGCAGTTTTAACATCCCTAATGTCAGCACTGGCGAAACTTGAATTTCGTCCCGCTGAACCCGGTGAATTCACAAGGCGCTCCTTTTACAACAATAAATTGGATTTAACCGAAATCGAGGGCCTGGCGGATTTAATTCACGCCGAAACTGAACAACAACGAAAGCAAGCTCTCCTACAGGCGAGTGGTGCACTACGTGAATTGTACGAAAATTGGCGACAATCGCTCATGAAAAATATTGCCCATCTCGAGGCGTACATTGATTTCAATGAGGAGGAGAATATCGAGGACAATGTTCTCGTTGAATGTAACGACAATTTACGTGATATTGTTAAGAGAATGGAGAATTATCTCGCCGATGGAAGGAGAGGTGAGATACTGCGTAATGGCGTGAAAACGGTGATTCTAGGTAAACCAAATGTGGGAAAAAGTAGTTTATTAAATAATCTTGTACGACGTGACGCTGCAATTGTCACGTCACTCGCTGGCACGACACGTGATATTGTTGAATTGACATTTAATGTATCCGGTTATCCGGTAATTTTGTCCGATACCGCTGGACTGACGAATGATTCCAAAGATTTTATCGAACAAGAAGGAATAAGACGAGCGAGACTTCATGCGATTGATGCCGATTTTATTATTTTAGTCGCTGACGTTGTGGAATTTGTGAGAATGGAAAAATCTATAGAGGAATTTATTCGGGATTATATGGAAAATTTGGAATTAAATCAACTTTTGAGTGAGGAGAAAAATTATATAATTGTCATGAATAAACTCGATTTAATCGAGAACGACAGAAGACAAGTTTTACTGCAAAATTTTCGCGATAGAAATATTATTGGAATTTCTTGTGAGGAGAAGGAAGGATTTGAAAATTTACTTGAAGGAATGACGAAATTTTTCGTCAAAATGTAAGTTTTCTCAAAGAAAATTGTATTTACAATCTACAAATTTAAAAAAAAAATTATTTTTAATTATTTAATATATTAATTTATAAGTATTCTTTAATTAAAATGAAATTTTTAATTACATAATTTCAAAATGAAATTTTCATTTGTTTAAAATTTTTCTTTTAATTCTTTTAATTATTTAACTAAAATTAAATTTTCAATTTAAATTGAATTTATTTTTAATTTTTTTTTATAAATATCGTTAAAAAATTTTTTATGATTAAAATAAATGAAATTATGAAGAAAATAAATTTGTATTTTTCTTTTTTGCAGTTGTGGAAATCCGTCGAGGGAAAATCCAACAATTAGTCAAACAAGACACAGAATTCATTTAACGAATTGTTTAAATTACATGAAAAATTATTTTCAAATAATTTCCACTGATAATCACGATATTGTTATTGCTACGGAGGAGATTCGTCAAGCAATGAGAGAAATTGGTAAATTAACCGGCCACGTTAGTACTGAACAAATTCTCGATATTATATTTAAAGATTTTTGCATTGGAAAATAAAAATATTTTCGTAAAATTCCATTTTTATTTACAAATTTCAAAAAATGGCGCCTTATTTAAGATTCAATCGATACTTATATCGATTATTTAAACCGTGAAAAGTAGACAACTTCAGAGTTCAGAATATAGAAAACACGTGCGTTTATTGTTGATTCTGACAAATTTTCTTCCTTTTTAAAATAATAAAATAAATAAGAAGATGTGTCTTTTTATTATCTACAAAAAACTATTTTCTTATCTTGACATTAATTGTCTTTCATTAAATTGAAAATTCACTGACAGTTTCCTTATACTTGTGTTTTTTGAATAATTTACCACTTTTAGGTTAGGACGCAAAAGAATAAAAGTTCGAAAAGAAATTTATCAATATACAGATAAATAAATAGATTTATTGTTAAAATCAATTGACGAATTGAAAATTATGGAAATTGAGGAAAATGAAGAAGTGCAAACGGTTCTTGCACGATTGAAATCTGAGGATGGAGAAGTTTTACCAGGCGGTCTTTTAGATCTGCCAGTGAATGTCACAGTGGAACAATTGCAATTAATTTGCAATACATTGTTAAATGAAGAGGAGCCTCTACCATTGGCATTTTACGTAAATGATGTGGAAATTGAAAAATGCTTGCAACCATATTTGAGTTTGAATAAAGATTTCAGCACTAGTGAGAATATTGTTGATATTATTTATCAACCACAAGCGATTTTTAAAGTTCGGAGTGTCACCAGATGTACTGGTGAATTGGAAGGTAATATTTCTATATTTCTTTATATTTTATGGGATTTTATTTTTTTATTACTTTTAATTTCTCTACTTTTGTTTTATTTTTTATTAAAATATATTTTATACTTTATTTTATTTATTTTCTTAATTGGAAGGTAATGTTTCTGTATTTCTTTTTATATTTTTGTATCTTTTATCTTTTATTTTATTTATGTATTCTATTTTATTCGTATTATATTTGATTAAAAATAAAATTGTTTAGGTCACACTGAGGCGGTGTTGGCGGTACAATTTTCACCAAATGGACAATATTTAGCGAGTGGTTCGGGTGATAAAACATTGAGATTGTGGGACATTCACACTCAGACACCTTATAAAACGTGTGTAGGACATGCGGACAATGTACTTTGCGTTGCTTGGTCGCCTTGCGGACGAAAAGTCGCTTCGGCCAGTGAAAATGGAAAAATTCTCCTTTGGAATGCAGAGGACGGATCACAAATTGGTTCGTGATTAAGCAAAAATTGGCAAACTATAAAAATTATTATTTTCCTTAAAGTTAGAAAAATTGCAGACTAGAATATAAGAAAAATAATTCTACCAAGAGTTAAAGAATAATTTTTTCCTTTTCTTTTAGGCAAACCAATGACGGCTCACAAAAAGTGGATAACTTGTCTCAGCTGGGAACCGTACCACAGCAACGAAACATGCAGATTTCTTGTCAGTTCATCGAAAGACACTTCTTTGAGAATATGGGACACAGTTCTCGGGCAGACAATTCGAGAATTAAGTGGACACACCATGAGTGTTACTTGTGTCAAATGGGGTGGTCGAGGTCTTATTTATTCCTCATCACAGGACAGAACAATTAAAGTTTGGAAAGCTGATGACGTAAATATATTTTTCATCTCTTTTTCCTGCGAATTCGTTGATAAAATAAATTTAACTTTAATTTTATCCGGTATTTCTCTTGTTAGATAAAAATAAAATTCTTAATTTGACGAAATTAAATATAGAAATATGAATTTAAATATTCTAATTATATTTCAATTGAAATAAATCCGGAATTATATTTAAATTTAAATAAACGGAATTATATTTAAATTTAAATAAACGGAATTATATTTAAATTACAGACCTCGGATATTATGACTTTTTCGACTTTTTTCGTCTATTTTCCAAAAATACGACTTTTTTCGACTTATTTTCAAAAATTGCGACTTTTTTGACACTGAATAAAATAAACGACTTTTTCAACTGTTATTTGTATTTTTAATCGACTAAAGGGACTTTTTTTGTGTCCAGAGCTCGAAGTAGGTCCTTAAATTCTGAAAAAGTCCGTAAAAGTCCGTTTTTTTGAAAAAAGGTTCGTAAAGTCCGTAATTTCATTCAAAAAGGATAAAAAGTTCGTAAATTGTACGAAATAATTTGGAGAATTTTAGAGAAATTACAAATGATTGCAGAAATTCAATTATTTTTAAAAGTAATAAAATTCTTCGCAAAAAATCAATTATTTTTAGAAATATTAAAATTCTTCTCCGAAATTAAATTATTTTCAAAAAATTTTAAAAATATTGTCAACATTTCAATTATCTTTATAAATAAATAGTAAAATTCTTCGACAAAATTCAATTATTTTCAAAAATTTTATTAAAATTCATTACAAAAATTTCAATTATTTTCATAATTAACAATATTTATCACACGAATTCAATTATTTTCTAAAGTAATAAAATTCAATTATTTTCAAAAATTTTAATAAAATCCATTGCAAAATTTCAATTATTTTCAAAAGTAATAATATTCTTCGCAAAAATTAAATATTGTTCAATACCTACTATTTTCATAAAATTTACCAAAAGAATTTAATTATTTAAAAAAAAATTTAATAACATTCTACAAAAACTTTTAATTATTTTCAAAAAATAATAAAAATTTCACAAGAATTTCATTAATAACAAATTTTTTTGATAAATTTCTTCACAATCATTCAACTATGTATTTTCATAATTAATAAAATTTTTAACGGGATTCAATTATTTTCGTAAATAATAAAATTCTTTTTAGGAATTCAATTATTTTCAATAGAATTTTAATCGAATTCCTCGAAAAAATTCTTAAAAATTTTATTAAAATTCATCCAAAGAATTTAATTATTTAAAAATTTGTTGATAAAATTTTTAATCGAAATTGAATTCCAAGAAACATTCAATTATTCAATAAATTATTTATTTTTGTATTTAAATAATTGAATTCTGGTAGAATCTTCTCATAAACATTGATTTAAAAATAGATTTCAGTTAAATTCTTAGATTATAATAATTGAATTCTTTCGAAGAATTTCATTAAAATTTTAAAAATAATTGAATTTTATTGCGACATTTTTTTAAAATTGTCCTAAAAATAATTGATTTTCAAAGATTTTTATTATTTTATGAAAATATTTAAATTCTTGCGAAAAATTTTATTAAAATTTCTGAAAGTAATTGAAGATCTGCTAAGAATTTGGTTATTTTGAATTTATGTCAAGAATTTTATTAAAATTTTTAAAAATAATTGAATTCCTGTTAATTTTTTTACAAGAATTTAATTATTTTTGAAAATTTTAATAAAATTCTTCGCAAGAATTCAATTATTTTCAAAAATAATAAAATTCAATGCAGAATTTCAATTATTTTTAATACAATTTTAATCGAATTTTGTCGAAAAATGTAATTATTCTTGAAAAAATTTATTAAAATTCGTTGATAGAATTCAATTATTTGAAAATTTGTTGATAACGATTTTTTATGTTAATTGAATTTTAAGAAACGTTCAATTATTCAATAAATTATTTATTTGCATTTTTACATTTAAATTTGTATTTAAATAATTGAATTCTAGTAGAATATTCTAATAAAAATTGATTTTCATTTCATAAAAATGTATTTCAGTTAAAATTTTAGATAATAATTGAATATTAAAAGCAATATAGCGTGAATTTTAAAAAAATAATTGAATTCTGTAATTAATTTTTTTGAAAAAGTTTAATTCATTTTTTTTAATATTATTTTTAGTTTCTATTTTCTAATATTTATTTATTTAGAGAATTTACGAATAATTGAAATTTCGTAAAATTGAATATTGTAAAGAAATGAATTTGAAAATTGTCATAGAACTTTTTCGAAAATTTAAAAAAATAATCGAAGAATTTTAGTTTTAAATTCTTAAAAATAATAATTGAATTGATAATGATTTTAATTATTATAAATTATTTTTATTAATTTTTATTAATAATTATTATTAATTATTATAAAACATTAAGAAATCGATGACTTTGAGTCGAAGACTCGGAGTTATCGATTTCTTCATGTTTTATAGTTATGAAAAATTGAATTTCTTGTTTTAAGTAAAATATTCTCTTCTTTGATTTGGCCTGATTCTATTTTTGTCAGTTGGTCCATAAATGGTCCGTAATTTTTCAGTTTTGAATTTAAATATAATTATATATAAATCCGGAATTAATATTGAAATTGAAATATATTTTAACGAAATAATTTAAATGTTATATTTAAGATTGTTTTTCCTTTTAATTTCAGGGGAAATTGTGCAGGAGTCTCGAAGGCCATGCTCACTGGGTGAACACTCTGGCGCTTAATGTTGATTACGCTCTAAGAACGGCAGAATTTGAAATTACGAGGAAAAAAAATGAATTGGAAAGTGCTAAAGAACGCGCTAAGCGACGTTACGAAGCTGTTGGTGAGGAAAAACTCGTTTCCGGATCCGATGATTTTACTCTAATTCTCTGGAAACCTGAGACAAGTAAAAAACCTGTTGGTACGTTGACAAAAACGTATTTTGTTAATTAAATTTGTTAATTCATAATATTTTAACATTTTTAGAAAAAAAAATTACATTGTTTACAAAATTGACAATTAATTATTTTTTGCTCCCCTTAGAGAGAATGTCGGGCCATCAACAATTAATAAACGATGTAAAGTTTTCTCCAAATGGAAGACTAATTGCAAGCGCGTCTTTCGATAAATCCATTAAACTTTGGGATGGAAATAGTGGGAAATTTGTTGGCGTACTAAGAGGACACGTGCAAAGAGTTTATACAATTGCTTGGAGCGCGGATTCTCGATTATTAGTGAGCGGAAGCGCTGATTCTACTTTAAAAGGTATATTTCACTGCAATATTTACTTTTCTATTATAATTAACAATTAATAGATACTTTGATATTTTAATTAATAAATTAATAGAGACTTTGATGTTATTTTATATTTTGTAATTAATAAATACTTTGAGAGAATTTAATTACTTTTTTTTTTATTTTCAATTTTAGTTTGGAATATTAAAATGAAGAAATTACTTCATGACTTACCGGGACATGCGGATGAAGTTTATGCCGTTGATTGGGCACCAAGCGGCGATCGAGTTGCTTCTGGCGGTAAAGACAAAGCTTTGAGAATTTGGCAAAATTAATTATTAGAATTAAAATTTATTTCCAATTATTCTAATTCTATTCTGATATTTTGATAAAATTTCATGGATATTTTCAATTGAAGGTGGAGAACAACTTTTTTTCTGTCTAAAAGCAAATTTCAAGAGAAAAGAACATTTTTCAATAGATTGTATTTTGGAATTTTTATATAAATACATTTTTAAATTTTTTAACTTAAATATTTTATTAAATATAAAGAAATTAATCATTTAATTTTGACGTTAATAATTATTCTGTTATTATATTAAAATTAAATAATTTTAACTTTATTAAATATTGAATTAAATACTTAAATGAGTTCATAATTCAATTTTGACGTCAATTATTTTCTGCTATTATATTAAAATAATTAAAATGAAATATTTCAGTTTTAATCATCAAAATAAATGAATAGAATAGAATGAAAGGAAATTGGAGTATGTAATTGTAAAAATAAAATATCATTTCATTGAATGCCGAATGATTTGTAATTATTATTTTTTTTAATTAGAAGAATAATAAATAAATGTAATTATTTTTACAATAAAGTGTCTATTTAATTTGCTAAATGATTTGTAATCAGTTTTTTTGGTTTGGAGAAATGATAAATAAATTTGAATATTTAAACCAAATAAAACTGTCATTTAATTAAGTGCCAAATAATTTTTTACAATTATTTATTTAGGGAAATAAATAAAGAATAATTAAAAGAAACTATTATTTAATTGAATTCCAAATGTGTAATAATTATTTATGTAATTAGAGAAATAATAAAAAAAGTATAATTAGTTTTGTAGTAAAATAACATTTAATGAAATAAATTATTACTAATCATTTTTTTGAATTTAGAGAAATAATAAATTTATTACAATACTTATATTTTATTTATTTATTATTACTATTATAATTTAGTAAACTATTCATAACCGAACAGAGTCGATAATTTATTAAAAACTAAATGTTTACAATTATTTTTTTAATTAGAGAAACAATAAACAAATTAAATTAGTTTTACAATAAAATGTTATTTAATTAAATGAGAAATGATTTGCAATATTTTTTATATTTAGTAAATCATTTGAATAATTAAAAAAAATAACTGTATTTGAATTGAACGATGAAATACTTTTATAAATTTTAATCAGGAAAGCAATAAACAAATTAAATTAGTTTTGCAGTAAAATGTAATACAATTAAATGCCAAATTATTTTTAATATTTTTTATACTTAACGAAATAATAAATACATTTTGAATAATTAAACAAAATAAACTGTAATTTAATTAAATAATGTCAAATACTTTCTACTATTTATTTTTTTAATTAGAGAATCAATCAACAAATTAGTTATTTACGATAGAATAATTATTTAATTACATGCCAATGATTTGTTTCATTAAATTTAATTAGTTTGTCTGATAAAATATCATCTAATTAAAAGCCAAATGGTTCGAAATTATTATCTATTTTTGAATTAGAAAAATAATAAATAAAATTAATTAACAATAAAAATGTCATTGTCGTCATCGTCGTCATTGTCAAAATGTTATTTAACATTCTTAGGTTATGTTATTCAATATTGCCATTATAGTTTTATGTTTAATACTTACTTATTGATGACAAAACACTTTTTTAATGTAAAAATATAATTTAATATAATAAATAGCAAAAGATTATTAGGTTGTAATATATTTTTTATTATTCTTTAACTTTTTTATTCTTTTTTTTTGGTTCTGTTTTGAAATTTCGATTTAACTTACCGACTGATACCGACTGTCGATAAGTGTTCGTGCGATCGTCAGTAGAGAGCGCCACTGACGCGCGCTCTCATTGGCCGCCAGTGTCAGCCAATGGCGTTCAATTGGATTTGAATGTGCGTAGGTCGTGTGCGCGGAGCTCAGTTGTCAGCCAGCAGCCATCGGCGACGGTGGTAGCTGCCTGTTCCCCCAGGACGTTGTTCCTCACGGAACTCCCCGGCGGGAGGAGCTGACAGGGGTCCTCCCCCCGACTTCCAGGGAGTGTACGGAGGAGGAAGCCCAGAAAATCAGATATACGAAACCCGTGTCGATGGATGCAGTTTATGGTAAGTTTTTATTTATTAAAAATAATTTACAAATGAATGAAATATTTTTATACATTGGTGTGGTTTAATCGTATCTTGCGATCAGTAGTTCCATTATTCGCCACCATATTTAGAAGTTTTTTTTATTGATGCAAGTTGGACAATTTTTCTATACAATTAGTAGTTGCAATAATTGTCACCAGAGAGCGATTAGACAGCAGACATACCAATATTAATTTACTTAATCTTCCTCTTTTATTTGTTTCAGATAGTTTCCAAAGAACGCAGAAAAATGGCCATTCCTTCCTATTTACTGACAGATTTGGAAATCTCCTTGATATCGTGCAGAAGGTTCAGTGGCTGTGTTGACATTGCTCCAAGGATGGGAACCATCAATGGTGAGTGGTTTTTTTTTATTTAATTTTAGTTTTGAAAATTTGCCGCTGTGCCTGTCAACAATGGAAAAACAATTGCCTAGCGGGAGGTAAGATTGTTGAGATTCTTTCCTAGACAATGCGCCCATAATTTCTTTTCGGTTTTTAGGAATTTGTATCATATGAATAAATTTTTTTATTATATTTGAAGGGAATAAATTAGATATGAATAAGAATTTTTGTAATTAAATTCGGCAGATTAGATATAAACATGCGAATCAAATTTTCGTTTGCTGACATTTTTTATAAGGAGAAACTCTGACCGATTTTTTTCAGATAGCAGAACAATTTTAAATATATTTTTTGTTTTTTAATTAGTAAGTAGCAACTGGTTCAAAATGTGTTTATGCGATTAAACACATTATTTTATGGAAAAACTAATTAATCTTTCACGTTGAATATTAAATAAATTTTGAAATTATTTTTTAGGTAAAATTTTTTTTATATAATTATTACAAGCATCTCGTTAAATATTTTATAGTCCTGGGGATCATAAAAAAAAATTCTCTTTAATTGTGCCATTACTGTCGGAATTAATAAAATTGTTGATGATTTTGGACGTTAAATTTTTGAAAAATGAACTTTCATTACATTACGAAGCGTATTAATTTTCTTTAAATTGATAAATAATGAAATAAAAGAATATGAGAAGTTTTAAATGAAAGATAAATTTCGCGAAAAAAATTTGAGGTTATGTTTACGATCGTTTGCACCTTAATTAAAATAAGAAGTAATATAATATTTTTTATTGTTGCAAAACCAAAAGTAATTCGGTAATTCTTATTCAAACATAACCTTAAATTGTTTCTCGTAACGTGAAAGAAAGTGTCACATATAATAAATGGTTCACTATTTATATAAATTAATGTATAATAAATAAAAAAAAACTTATAATTTATTAAAAATTGATTTTTTTATTCTCTATAAATGTTTGATCGTGTCGGCTGTGATTATACATCACATTAGATTAAATAGCGAGCGTTATAGTAGCTTAAATGAAAATAATTGAGAAAATTAAAGGGACCCCAGAGTTTCATTTCGTAATTCTCCTTCGCTTCGTGCTATTGTATATATATATACATATATGCAAAATCGAGGTTGGAAAACTATGAAATTAAACATTGCACTCTGTGGACAAAACGATCTATCGCCTTTTTTTCCTGTAATGAATTTACGTGAAAAATGGCTTAATGATAAAATCGGCGGATGAATCAAATGACCAATAAATCTCTTCCTTGCAATTTGTTCGATTGTTTTCAATCTCTATATCCAATGTGCATACAGTGAAAGTATTAAATGATCGGAGATTAAATCTTTTATTGACAAAAAAAAACATTTTTTTCCAATTAAAATTTTGTTGATATTATAATATTTTATGCAATTCTATTCATTATTATTATTATTATGAGAATTTTCATTAATATTTTTGTAATATAGTTTTTATAATGAGTTATTATTACTGTTGACAATATTCATGACATGTGTCATGAATTAATAAATTATTAATAATTATCAATTAATAAAAGTAAAGTTTGTTCAATATCAATTAATCTGTTAATTGTAAATTATGATTAGTAATTAGAAATTAATTATTAAGAACATTTAATTATTAGCAAATAATTATTTATAACTATTTATTTATTATTTATAGTTATTAACAAGTGACAATAATTTATTACAAATTAACAATTAAATTTCTAACAATTAATTATTAATAACTATTAATTATTATTAGCAAATAATTCTTAACAATTATTGATAATTCACAATCAATTACTACCAATTATTTATTAATACCTACTGATTAATTATTATATTATCTTAACAAATTAATGAAAATTCAGTATATATTCAGTATAATCAAATAATAACAAACAATTATTAACAATTAATTAATGATCAACAAAATTCATTATTAATAAGATTAATGATTAGCAAATAATTCTTAGAAATAAAAATTTACAATCCTTCAAAATGTTATCGTCTATTACTTATATATAACAGGCTAGAGTTCGGCTGTGGTTACTTTTATTTAAAAGCGCTTAAAAATTACAATAAAATTTTCTATATCTTTTAAGATGTTGTTCAACAACAATCTAGGATGTTATCAGACCTTAAAAAAATTAAATTAAACATCGTTCGGGATGTTGTTCAGCAACATCCCAGCAACAATCTAGATTGTTTACAGTCCATACAATTTATTAAAATTTAAAAGAAATGAATTTAAACTTTATGATAATTTTGATCTTCTGCTGGTTGGCGGCTGTGGTTACTTTCATTTAAAAGCGTTTAAAAGTTTCAATAAAATTTTTTATTCGTCAGGATGTTGTTTAGCAACATCCCAGCAACAATCTAGGTTGTTTACAGTCCATAAAATTTATTAAAATTTAAAAGAAGTGAATTTAAATGTTTTTTTATGACAATTATGATCTTCTGCTAGTGTAAAAACTAATAATGTGCGATTAGTCGTTAAATATTTTTTTTTTTCGATTATTTTACTGAGAGATATATTTTTTCAAATTTGATATTTATAAACAATAAAATAATAAATTTATACTTTTTAATTAAGAAAAAACAAATTTTTAAGCAATGTTTGTCGAGATCAAAATTTTGATAAAAGTTCCTGTAATCGCAACTGAAAGGAACTTATATATCATAACTTTATTAATTCATTTCTCACCTTATTAATGCCAGGATGAAATAATTTTTCAATGAAAGTGTAATGTACTTTTTGTTTTGAAACACA